CTAAAAATACTTGAAATATCGAGCCTTGAAAACGCTCTACAACACTTATGCTAGAAATTACACTTCTACGCAAACTCAAGCAGTTAACTCTTGCTAATTTAAATAAAAATGCTGTTAAACTGACCGTGAATATGCAGAATTTGTTAATCATTATACGGACCTGAAAGTGTTAAGATTGTTTTTTTTTTTTTAGATCAATCGGTAAAACAAAGATGTTTGCTTCGGTTCTCAGAGGCCAACGGAAACAACATGCAACTACCATAAATTAGTAAAAAGGCGTCAAAGACATGTCAAATTTGCTAATTATAGATCATTATTTTACTGAAAGGTATGGTATATATATACAAAGTTTAATTTTTTCTATTTTCTGATCTCACTGAATTACTACTGTACAGAGCATTGAGAACTTGAATTTCGTATGAAAATCAATTTTAAATTAGGACATTATCCAAGAAGATCTTTTAAAGGAATGCTTTCTGTTAGTCTTTAAGTGAGACCAAACTTTGACATCTGAAAAACTTTCTTTTGTATCTTGCACTAAGCTATCATAATGACTAAATTCAGTTGAAATTCAGTGCGATTCTTATCATTCGTCGGTCTCTTATACCAAACGCTGGAAGGTGCTTACACCCACAGACTACTCGAAACACCTGATTCTTAGGGCCTGATTACATGAGCTGAGCTGGCCCGGTTAGCCGGGCTGATTTCTTTTGTTTTCACGCTTTGGTGAACACCAAAACAAAAGAAATCAGCCCGGCTAACAGGGCCAGCCCGCCTCATGTAATCAGGCCCTTAAACAACATAACAACTTGATTGCTTAGTCATGATCCTCTGAGAGTCGTTTAAGCCCTCTGACGTCCTTAGTATCTCTAGTCGTGTTTTTGTTTTGAAGTAAGTCGGGAGGGAAGGGTTTTATTTTTATTTATATTTTAGCAATTAAAAGCCTCTATCTAACAGCCCGAATTAAGTCTGAGATCAATATCACGCGACACTTCCAGAGCCAGAGTTATAGTAAAATACAAAAGGAGTCTTGAATTCCACAGAGATCTTTTAGGCCAGTGATTTTAGTTGATTTAGTCTGATATTCCTTAAGTCGTGTTATTTGACGTAGTGCCTTCCATTGTACATCATCCGGAGGTAAACAGCTCGTCATTTGTTTTCACCACCCAACGACCAATGCCTCCCCCGCCACCTTACAAAAAGAACGATGTACAAGTATCAATTTTGAATGGGGACACTTTTCAATATTAAAATTGCGTAATTGGTGTTGGTAGGAGACAATATGTTCCTACTTAATAAATTAAAAATGGTTCAATTTAGTAGCTTTTTTGACGAGTAGTCCGTTTTGAAGGTTCTCGTTTGCACTAGGTAGCATTACAATGCCTTACACTGTAACGTTTTTGGCGTTAGCTTAGAAAATGAATTTCTTCCTGTATTAGTACCTCCTCCAGCACCAAATGCACACTGTACAGGTCCAGCACCTTCAACAAGAATTTTACCATGAGGACTTCCCTGTAATGTCTCGGTAATGATGACGACACTTCCACCCGCACCACTCCCCCCGGGGGCAGATCTGTGGGCCTTCCTGTTGAGGCATTCCCCTGGGTGTCCTTCATGAAAGAAATGAAATGATATCACATTCAGATGGAGTTTAAAGTATATACTAAATAATTAATTAACGATAATATGATTCAATATTTTCTTGCTCTTTAGCTTAACCATCAAGTCGTATTTCTAACTATAACACAAAAGACAAGGTAAAGTGCATGTTCTGAGAAGGATTTCCTTTAATCCAAAGTTATCTGGTTTTAAATGTTATGATAGAGAAAGTTTTTTTTAACTTATTACCTTTCGATTCAATTTTCCCATCCAAAGTCATCTTCTCAAGAAGAAGAAACACCAGGCCACCACCATTTCCTCCCCTCCCCCCTGGGTTGGTATCATCTGTAAAAGCTGAGCCACCTCCACCACTCCCTCCCCCACCGTAGCTGAGTCGGTTTGTGAAGTCTGTGTTGCCAAATTGCATTCCACCTAAAGTAGAAATGCAAAAGTTGGTGAAGAGAAGTGACAGGTTTTCAAACCAAATTCATATAAATGAAAAGTTATAGATGATATTGGCATTGCCTCACACCATAACGGCTGTTACTGGCCTTTACCATGGTAAGTGATAAATAATACTGTAGCATCGCTACTCTTAGAGAAGGTATTACCTTCGTGAAAAGGTTATATGTGATGCTCCAAAGGGAAACGTTATTTTGATATAAGCGTTGAAGTTTTTCAGTTATTCGAGATTTGGCAATGACCAACTTAACCAGCTCGACTTGGCCATCAACCTCCATCGTAGACACGAATACTTACTGTATCGCAGCTCCTCATTCAAAAATGGGAAACTTTGTTTCAACATCATTTGTTCCCAGTTTACTTACCCCCTCCTCCTCCCCCACCATAAGCAGGATGACATGACGAGTCACCTAGGATTAGAAATTAAAGTTATAAACTGACTCTCCTATTCTCTTGTATAGCAGGAGCAATAAGTTTGTTCATTTATTCAACTACAGATTACTTCCTTATTATTTCGTTGTTGGAAAAGAATTACCCTTAAGACAAATACATTCGAGCAACATAGAAATACTAAATCACTGGATTAATGTCTCTCAATTTAATACGAATCCTGCACGAGTTTTTCTGGCTTGGGTGTAATTAGCTGTCCTATATCCATTGAGGTCAAATAGCTGTAGTTATTCATCACCTCCTCCGCCCCCTTTACTTCCATTCCCTGCTGTTCCTCTGCGAGCTGAAGAACAGTCCCCTTTGACAGGCTGACCCTGCTGGCTCCCATTTCCACCAGCGCCTGCTGTACAGGCTGCCACCCCTCCTCCGCCAGCCAACACATTGATCTGTGAGGAAAATACGGAAGCTACATCTAAATTTACATCACATATGACAAACACACAGACAAACAGCTAAAGAGAGTATTGACTTACAACAGATGAAGCTGTCCCTCCTGTACCTCCCCTGCCACCACAGCCAGTTCCAGCACCGCCACCCCCGCCACCAGAAAAATGTCCACCTCCTCCTCCTGCGCCCGCACCATCATCACTATTAACCGTTGAGTCACCTCCTCCCCCTCCGGAGTTGTATCCTCCAGGTCCACCTCGTGACGCAAAATCTGAGAATATGTTATGGTCATCCCAATTATCATCAACATTTATCCAACCAATGTTAGTTGATACCTGTTATCAACAGTAAATGGTGTGAATGGTAAGGAAAGTGCAACACAACTTACCATCCCCTCCCCCTCCCCCTCCAAGTCCATTTGAGTTTATGGCCCACGAAGGTCCAACAATATCTCCTCCTTTCCCATTGGTTCCTGTCTGAATGTACATGAAGGACTCGCCACCATACCCACCCCCACCCCGTGAGTCACCACCTTGTCCACCACGAAATCCTACGAAGGAAATTAAATCAAGTAATTAATCTTAGAAACAACGTTCACTGATAATCTTTGCCTTTTTAGGAACCCTCAACCCTCGAAAACAAGCTTTAACTAAGTTAGCCTTGCAGCCCAAAATTTATCACGAGTTCTTGTCAGCTTGAACGAGGAAGGTTCTAATTCGCTGTGTTTCTTAAGGCTTTTAATGTCGAGATTGTGTTAGAACAATGTACGGATAATGTGAAAATTTTCATCGTTTCAATTTTTTTAAGCTTGTGTCGTGCAAGCAATCTTAGAGTGTACAGTAAAGTACAGTTCAAAATTATTTGCGGTCTACCTAAACCAGTGGTTGATATCACTGAGGTTCCATCGATGTACAACATTTTAGCTCTCAGAGCCAGAATCCCTCCATGACCTCTGTCTTGCGTTCGACATGTCAGAACACATTTCTTCCTGAGGGTGACATTTTTGTACTTTGGAAATAGTTGGGCGATGGTGTAACTGTCGCTGGACTTAACTGGCTGAGTAAAGGCTCCGGTCAATGTGAGATCACAGCTTGAAAAAATAATCATGATTGTAAAAATATTGTTTATTTATAGTCTTTGAAAGTGTTTTATCAAGGGGATAAGGAGATATGGAGGAAAAGGGAAGGGAGAAAAGAAAGAAAAGAAATGGGAGAAAGAGGAAGAGGTAAAGGATGAAGAATTGAAGGGGACTGAAAGAATGAGTAGAAGTATGAGGACGGAGGGGTGGAAGAAAATGAGGAGTATTGAGAAAAAAGATAACGAAGAAGAGGAGAAGGAGGAGGAAGAAAAGTGGGAAAAGAGTGAAGGAGGAGAAATAGAAAAGGGGAAGGAGAGAAAGGAGAATTGACAGGGGGAACAGGTAGAAGTGGTGGAAGGAGAAAAAGGAAGGAGAAGAGTGGAGAGCTAAGAGTGGAGAGCTAAGAGTGGAGAACTAGGAGGGAGAGGTAGAGAAAGAAGGAGAGAAGGGAAGGAGAAAAGGGAATATTGGAGAATTAAGGGGGAGAGGTATATATAAAAGGGGAGAGAGGAAGAGGAATAGGATGAAGAAGAATGAAGAAGAAAAAGGATGGAGAAGAAAAAGGAGAGGAAGAAAAAAAAGAAAAAGAAGAAGAAAAATAAAAAGAAGAAGAGGAAGAAGAAGAAGAAGAGGAAGAAAAAGAGGAAGAAGAATAGGAAGAAGAAGAAGAACAAGAAGAAGAACAAGAAGAAGAACAAGAAGAAGAGGGGGTGAAAGAGCAAGAGGAGAAGAAGAGCAAGAGGGTGAGGATGAGGAAGGGGAAGGAGAAGTGAAAGAAGAAGAAGAAAAAGAAGAGGAAGAGGGAGAAGAAGAAGAAGAGGGGGTGAAAGAGGAAGATGAAGAGGAAGACAAAGAAGAGGAAAAGGACGTAGAAGAGAAAAGAGGAAGAGAAATAGGAAGAAGAAAAGGAAGAAGAAGAGGAGGAGGAAGAAGGGGAGGTTGAGGAAGAGGAAGAAGTGAGGCATAAAGGTAGGTACTTTATTCTTACTAACCCAGTTATGTTGTCCACCCTCATGATCTCGTATTTGCCATGATTGATTAGGTTCCCTCTGGTTGCGATAAAAAGTATTTCATCTCCACGTTGGATTTTGGCAGCATCCTCACAGTTGTTTAACACGACGCTTTTTGAGTCAGTAGACTTCACCTCCCATGATATCATTACTTGCGTGCAGATGTCGAGGGTTTCATCGTTGCATAACACTAAAATCGACGGCGGAAGACAACAATGTTGGATCGGGTACCACTTATACTCAAGAACGGCTGACACTACAGACATTAATACTGAATAACGGTCAACATAAACTCACGCAACGACACAAACAAGTCATATATACTTGTCGTCCATAATGTAAGCAAACCAAGAGTTGTATAGAAAGTGAGGGTGAGAGGAAAAAGAGGAGGAAAGCTAACGACGATCTCTCATTCTTTTCCTACTTACAATCTTCACAGTTTTTTCCATGCAGGTTCTTAAATGGACAGTGACATTGGTAATCGTCTTTGTCGTAAATCGGCTGACAAGTGCCGCCATTTCTGCATGGATTTGACATACACGGCGTCTGAAAAGAAAGGAGCGGAAATAAGTGACAACTAAGTAACAACTGAAATTAAATTTCGATCAGATATACATCAACTTATATTCCATATCGAAAAACATTATCTCCTTGGCAGCGTGATTTGAATTTTTGAACTTACACTTTCTAGTTACTTTGTGGTTTACTTTACGGAGATCTGTATCCTGTACTATTCGTTTACATACAAATTGAAAGGAACATTCATCCATAGTTAAGAAATCGATAACCATTAGAATCGCAGTGTCCTTGTGGGGAAGGAGCTTCCAAAGCTGAAATAGCTTATAGTGCAACTGTACCACCTTTCACTGAGAATTCTAAGTGCAGCAATTCTCAAATTGCTGCACTTAGTAGGTTGAAAAAACAACTCATTTCGCAGAGACCAATTTGAAAGCGCGTCTAAATCCTGCTGTAGATGCAAGTAATCAGAATGGTGTTTAGTAACCTTGTAACATTTAGAGTCATCCGCAAACATAGCCAGTGTTGCACTGAAAACAACGTTAGGCATGTCATTAACAAATAGTGCAGCAATTTGAGAATTTATAAGAAGCGCCTTAGTCCTCCCCGCAGCTATGTTTTAAATGGTATTAATAGGGGCCTGAAGAAACCCCGACGGCGACGGCAACGAGGACGTGGAAAAACAAGAGATCTAATTGGCAGAACAATAGCTCAGCACGTGCGTTTTGAAACTTTGTACATTTCTTAGCCGTCCTATGCAAAATTTAGTCTCCCTCGCAGCCGTTTTTAGTCTCGTCACGCAACGCTTCTCCCCACAAACGTTCTCCCCAGAAGCGTTGCGTGACGAGACTAAAAACGGCTGCGAGGGAGACTAATGCAAAACAATAACGTGAAATCGCCAAAATTTGCGTCGTCTGTGAACCGAAACCGCGACGGCAAATTATTTTAACTTCCATTTGGAACTCAACGGCTACTTTATACGTCATGCTGAAGTTGAGCTGTGGCGCTGTATGAGACAGTAAGCTCCTGCAGCCATTTTTGAAATTCTAACTAAGAGTAGAAATTCATTTTTCAATCGAAGTCTTCCTTGGCGTCGCCGTCCTGGTTTCTCAAGGTCCCTAATGTGGAGGTTGTCACGGCCGAAAAAGATCTTGGTATTATGATTGCAAATGACACCTCTTGGAAAGATCACTTAGTCATGATTGTAGCTATAGCTAATAGGATGCTTGGATTTTTCAAAAGGAACTGCACTGGTATTGTTGGTAGTACGGCGCTTTTGCGTCTTTACTACTCTTTAGTGCGCTCTCATTTTTGTTTTTGCTCTCAGTTATGGGCCCCGAAGTCAAGTAGCAGCAATTTTATTCTTGTTGAAAACATGCAAAGGAGAGCCACTCGATTTATCTTAAGGAATAGTAACCTATGTTGAAAGGCTCGTTTAATCAAGCTTAAGTTATTACCTCTAAGTTATTGGTTAGAATATCTTGACTTAGTTTTCTTTTTCAAGTGCCGTCATGGGCTTATATATTTCACTCGTGAACTGATTTAGTTATTTTCTTTTCTAAAGGGCAACACGCGCCGGGCTTCATCAGGGCTGCATGCATTTAAAGTTAAATGCCTATCGTACGTCTTCCTTTCGAGACTTTTACTTCAACAGAATAACTTTGATGTGGAACAGTTTACCTAAAACTATCAAGGATTCAAAAATTTTGAACTCTTTCAAAAGTAAACTCAAGTCGTTTTATTTTACTAGACTTTTGAATGCTTTTGATGGTGACAATTTTCGTTCGTTCAAATTAATTTGTCCTAAGTGTCGCCGTGTAAATGCTTCTTCTGTCTGTACTTGTTAAGTTAAATTAAGTCAAGTTGTAAATTTGTATACTTTAGAATATTTCTGTGCGATTTAAATTATTGAATTGTAATAAGTCGGATCAGGGAAGTCTTTTTTTCGGGATATTTCTTTCTGGGATATATATATTTTTTTTTTGCGGGGCTGGGAGTGGGTGTATTAACCAAGTAGGGGACTTATGTCCTATTGTTGTGCACCTGTACTTGTACTTGTACGAATCCATAAATAAATAAATAAATAAATAATCTTCCCTTCAATTGTCAGTTAAAAAGAACAGACCTTGCTTAGCGATTTTTGTTTCACTTTGCCTTTCTCTTATATATATATATATATACTCTGGATATTTTTCGTTGAAAAATATGTGCGCCAGAGACGACAACATGTATTAGTATAACAGAGCGTTTGATTAACGCAAAAATCAACATAATGTCATTTGGACCCCTTGTTTTTTCAAACCGTGATAACATAAATTAGTCTCTTACTAAGATGTGGATATATCAACAAAGTTGAAATGGTAAATTGGCCACCGTAACGATTACAAAAGCTGACGTTTCGAGCGTTAACGCTCGAAACGTCAGCTTTTGTAATCGTTACGGTGGCCAATTTACCATTTCAACTTTATTGATATATTCAAATTATTTCGTTACCCCCACCGACGCAGCCCCAAACAGTTTCTTTAGAAATTATCAGCCTCTTACTAAGATCGCCTGTTTCTTATATTCTAAATACTCACCAATTGAATCCACCACTGATGTAAGACAATTCCTGATTGAAACAAGTTTTGGAGGCGAAAACAGCTTCAAATTCAGGGTTAGGGTTAAAAGTTTTAAGATTTTATCACTGTGGTAAAATAAACGAGTGATTTACTATGGTTTACTGAAAAGATAACAATTCACAGCGGGACTCGGTATCTTTCCCTCAGACTTAATCATCGAAGAAACATTTCTGATTGTTAACGCACTCAAAGGTGCATCTTCCAAGACTTGAAACAAAGTTGCCAGTAGTGAAGCTATGAAAAAACGTTAAATGATTTCCACAAATTGTATATAACCTATACGATTAATTTATTTAGAGTTCTTTTAAAACTCTGGAAATCAAAAATGTTCTTGCACTGATTCACTACGTTAAACAAAACAAAAAATATTCCGATCATTGTATTTGGTCCAAAATTGTTTTTATCATTATAGTTAAACAAATTAAACGAAGATGTCTTTTGTTGTTGGTGGTTTTGGTCAACGTTGTTCTACCAAAATAACTCACCATTTTAACAACTTCCGAGAACTTTACATTACTGCAGAGGCGAATGATTACGGAAATAAAGATTGAACCAAAACAAAAGAGAAATACTACAGAGGCTACAACAGTAAAAAAAATTGGTAGTGGAACTAGGTGAGATAGAAAAATAACAAACCTAAAATTTCAACGCTTTCAATCAGCTTATTAATGAGAATATTTCTGGTATCCCGTCATCTTCACTACACTGAATATCCTTTGAAAGTTTTCGCTTATCTTGAAAAGCAAGGGAACGATTCTCGGAAAAATTACTTTGTCCACAGTTCTATTTTCATGAAATCCCCCTATTATATAGGTATAATGTTTAAGTGTGATATATTTGATAGATTTGACATATGATATATACGCCTGTCAAGATGCTCTATTTTCCAGTCCGTTATTTACTTTAAACTGTTTCTTGTACGGGTCCTAAATATATTTCACTCATCTCTCGTATAATTAAATAATTTATACCAAGACCGACAGATAAATGATCGATCACCATTATGATTCCTTTTCTCTAAATTGAAAGTTACCAAGTAGATTTTGAAAAGAAATTATTGCTTAATTTTCCTTCTAGTACTAATAAGGGCTAACATCAATACAGATTCATAAAAACGGTACAACTCGTGCGAACTGAAAGACGAATGATGTGTTCTTTTTTCTCATTATCTTTATGTTTCTGAAATTCTTTTCTTGCTCTTCTATCAATTGTCATAAGTTGATAAATTCAAAGTGAATAAAACGTGAACTAACAATATCAACGGTTGTATAATAATTTTTTTGTACCGATGTACTGCTGTGGAGTAGAATCAGTTACAAATTCATAGCCCTTGCAATTATCAAAATGTTCAACGTGTTCAATTAAGAGCTTAAGGCTTATTTCTCTTAGCTGGGAAAATGAAAGCAGCGACCAGTCCTACCTTTATGTGATAATGGTGAAAATCATCGTTGGAGACAACCTTGTCCGATCGACTGAACTTATCTTCGTTTAGCAGTTCACAAATGTGTTTTCCTTGGGTTTGATGACCGGCAAAGTTTACAGAAATACATTTCTGACTGTTGATGCATTGGAAGGTGCATTCACCAAGACTTTCAACTTTCAGTGTTGCGAACGATGAATTTGTGAGCTCTGTGAATGAATTGCCCACAAACTGAGCATAACGTATGCCAGAATCTAAAGTCCTTTTCAAGCTCACAGGCTCACCGGCTACATTTTCCAAGTCATGAGAAGCTGTCATCAAAGTGACTAGAAATAAAAATTTGCTGATGCTAGATGGAAATTCCATTTGAAAGCATCTCTTTTTTAACTGTTCCCTGCGTTTTCTAGTGTTTCCAGGCCATGTATATTAAAGTTTGTTTACGCCTAAAAATTGTTTGATCAAAAGAGACTTTGAAAAAGCATTCATTATTAATACTGACAATTTTCTTTATTTGGTCGAAAGACTGCAGGCCAAAATCGCACAGATGAAAATTGAAAAAAAAATTGCCTGCAGAAATTTTGTTTAATGATATCCAACTGGCCTGGGAAAAAAAGGTTAAGGTTTTCAATATTAGAACTGTTGAATATCCAAAATTAGAAAAAAAAATTGCTTAACCGACGTTTGACTTCCTTAATTTAATTACTTATGCTAATAAGAGAATGGTCGAATCTAATGGGTATTTGTTTCAGGTCGATAAACCACCAGTTAACGTTTGTCAAGTTGCCCAGAAAGACAGAATCTCTTATGAAATAGGCTATTTATGAATCAAAATAATGGGCGGTTTCAAAGCCGGGGCAAAAGCGTTTGTGAGAAATCGAGCTCTGTTGAAATCAGAGTAAAAGTTGATGTCATATCGAAGGCGTGGCATCCATCAAACGGCCCATCTAAAATTAGAAATTTAAGGATGCAAAGACATGTACAGCTAATCCATAGCTGTTTTCAGAGTGGCAGCAGCCTGAATATTATAGGAATAACAAACCAATAATACGTATGATGCCCGATCCTCGCAGTAGAGAGCGCTATTTATGCAATAGCGAAAATCATTTTCGCTATTACATAAATAGCGCTCTCTACTGCGAGGATCGGGAATCATACGTATCTAATACCGCAGTTCAAAATATATGAACTTCATATATACATTGTACCAAACCAATAATAGCCCATTAGCAACCGTGAATGTCTCAACAACAACCCAGTTTCGGTTGATTCGCCCTAATTGCCCGCCGGTCCTCGTTCTGTGCTTACAGTATTTGAGCAATCATGAGAGACAGTCATGCAATCAGAAAACGAAGCGCAGTATTACGGTGATCTTCCTCCGTTGGTTTATTTCTGGACAGCAGCCTCCTTGAAAACATTTTTTCTTTGAGGAATAATTCAATCAACCGTTTTAAAACGCCAAGACGCTGAGGCAATTCAACGTGTATGATTTTATACGACCAAGAGAACATCAACTGATACGACATGAAATTCAACTAAAATCGGTTTTGTTAACCCTTCACACACTCTAACTTCATTATGGATATTCATATTCTCCATACTGTTCTCCATAAATTTCCGAAGGTGTATTATGGAACTGAACAAGGAGAATTTGTTTAACAATCAAGAGCTTTCTTTTGTTATTGATCATTTCCTTTATTTTCCTAACCTTAATGTTTGACTCAGGGTGGATAGTGTAAGGAGAAATTGCGCCAGGCACTATTACAGGTCAAAGGGTTAATTAAATGTGGGTGGTCTTCAAGAGCTGCAAATTTCGAATTGATATTGGGCTGGTTTCATACTTGTTCCAAAGAGTTCATTTCGGTGTTTTTTCTGTTGTTGATATCTTAACTTAATCGCCGGAACTTTGAGATCCAAACAAATTTCACTCTGCCATTTTTCTCGCCATGATTCACACACTAGTGATGTGTCCTTACTTGGCAAACGCTTTGACCTGTATTAAGATACTTCCAAATTTTAAATAATATGTATGGATAATATTTTGTGCTTCCCATAACAAGCCACTGTTCTGTCTTTTGTCTAAATAATCCGAGGTGGCTCAGCAACTTCAGGTTTCTGCCTTTATTTGTAGTCAGTAGTACAAGGACGGTAAAAACGTGACCTTTGAGAGGCCATATCAAAGACGAATCGATTTTTGTTGTTGTTGTAGTTGTTTTTCCAGGGGTGACTGCGTATTAACTGGTACGTTCTCTTGCATTTCGTTTTGCGGAACTATCTTTGCTCCTAAAGGAAGCGTTGAACTGAGCGCAGGTCTACGTTACACAGCAGCCATATATTTTGCATAAGAAAGAATTTTTTTCCTCTGGGTAAAATAATCTATTGTTCCTGCAATCCAAAATGCCTGCCGTGCAAAACCTCTATTACTGTTTCACATTCAAGGAAAGAGTCACGAAATATAAAGAAAACGTGACTCGGTTTATAGCTGAGTCACGTTTTCCGACAGGATTTATACTCAACAGTCACTTTAACACCTGTTTGATTGACATATCCTTTGTTCACGTCCCTGCAAGACAGAATGGTATCAATTATCATATAAAAAGAGAATTCATTCCGTAATTACCCTTTGTCGCTGTTACTCTAATGCGCTAAACACTGTAACCCGTTAGACTGAGCTGAAGATAAGTTATCAAGGACAGATTCATTTTGAAGTCGACAAAATGCACTGTGCAAAATCAGAGCTGACGGTTCTTCTTGGTGTCGGAATATTTCTAGCTGGTTCCATTTCCCTAATAGCGATTACAATGCAAAGAATTTTCCCAGCTCGTGAGGAGCAAACTTTTAAAGAAATAAACTGTACGATTGTGTCTGGGGATATGAACACAAAAACAAAATGCTCCAATAAAAATCAAGACGCACGCTACCCGTGCCTCAGGATATATGTTCTGTGTGGCAAAGATGAGATTCAAGAGAACCCTTCTTTAGAGAGCGCACAGCCTCGTTTATTAAGAAAGGATTTCTACAGCTTACACCAACAGGTACGTACAGATCTCAGTCTGTTTATTCTCATTGTTTTACAGATTGTGAGGTTTTTTTTTTTTTTGTCGCCTAAATAGTATTTATTAAGTTAAAACGAGCTGTTTCTGTGATTTGTAGAACGATCAGTAGCGATTTCATATTTTCGTGAAAAACGTATCATCAGTACATCAACGAATTGCAAAAGCACGTCCATATTTCATTACGCAATGAAAAGGCATTTGGCTTTTGATCTCCATTGTTGAATTAGATTGTTATTAGTTATTTTTGCTTGTTATGTATTTGCTTCTGACCTGGGAAAACCAATCACAATCGTCTGGACAGAACCTAGGTCAAGTTGCCATCTGTCTGTCAACGCAGCGCCATCACTGGCACATGTCCACATGTCCCACTTAATCCCACACTTTTTGAGTGTAATAATCTGTCGGAGTAAAGGGCGATATTGAAGAAAACACACCCTTCTGCCTCCCCCATCCCTCCCAAAACTGTTTTCAGAGCGATAATTCTGATGAAAATCATATTGCCAGAGCCAAAGAAAGTATGTCCCACTTAATCCCACACTTTTTGAGTGTAATAATCTGTCGGAGTAAAGGGCGATATTGAAGAAAACACACCCTTCTGCCTCCCCCATCCCTCCCAAAACTGTTTTCAGAGCGATAATTCTGATGAAAATCATATTGCCAGAGCCAAAGAAAGTTCCGCTTGGAAAATGCGCAAAACCAATAGGCCTCGGGCTTGCTTCAAGGCTTGCACAAGATGTACCTCACAAGACCTGAAAATGTACATAGAAAGATTTCGCAACAAATGTTTAAGTTGTTAATAATGATTTCGAAACAGCTGACATTAACGTAGTGCGGCAATACACCCAAATATGGCACCAGGTCGGAAAACATTCCCGAGGAGGAACTGAAAAAAGTTCAAGATGCAATTTTAAATGTTCACCTCTTACAACACGCGTGCTTATATTTTGCAATGTACAGCAGAGCTGGTAATGTGAAAGCCGTCTGAAACAGTTTTGTTCCGAGTTATTATTTAACGTAATTTTCAGATATTATTATCCAAAATTCGCTCTCCGTGTCGCCTGAGCGCATCATAATCTCTGCACGTACGATGCGCTATTTATAGAACGAATTATTAGATGTTTTTCTTGTCACTCACATGCGTATTGAGTGACGTATTGAGGAACTAGTTAAAAAAAAGTGCATTGCTTGACTAACTATATTTTCTCCGCTTTTCTTTTTCTTTAGTGCACTTTACCACCAGAACAGTGTAGTGACAAGTCTAACAGGCATCCCTTGGAGAAATTATTTCACACTGGTAATCCTGTAGGATCAAAACTTCAGTGCTTCTACAACCCAAATGATCCGGAACAAATCGTCAGCCAGAAAGATTCTAAGAAAAGCTACAACAAAATGGTGCTTAATAATGTGGTTTGGCCGCTGGCCGTTATACTGCTAGCGGTGATTATTATTGCGGGGGCCGCTTGCTTCCTCGCTACACGGCCTCAAGCTGGTTATGAAAAGTTAGAAGGAATGACCAGTACTTCGCTTCATCAAACACTCTGAACGATTGAGTGTAAGATATCACTCCACTGAACCACGATGGTGGCTTTCTTCTCCCCAATGCTAGCTCATTTGGGGTCGAAGTGAAAACAGTGCTGAATCTTAGAATTATGACAGGTACGCACTGTATAAAGGAAATAGGTTGGGACAGGTCATGATCTGTATCTCTGAGCAAAAAAATTGATAAAGTGATTGTTGGCAGCCAGATGAAGAGAAGGTTAAAGCGAGAAACTGTATAAAGAAGTCGTTAGCTTCACAGATCGAGTTTTGACTGCACCATTTACATTCAAGACTGTTGAATTCAGACAGACTTTGATGATTACAATCAATATGGCAACAGAGGAGCCAGTATTGCGAAAATTATGGAATTATAAAATTGTAACAAATATAATCATTGTAAATTATTTTGTAAAAATATTGGATCATCCAATTTGATTGCGAGGTATTTAACTTAGTTTTATCTGAAAGAAGATATTGCCAAATAAAATAAGGAATTGACCTCAGTAACTCTGCATTATCATTTTTGCTTGGGAACTCGAACTTCACCTACTTTCGCTTGGATTGACTTCGTGGAGAGAAATTCTATATAAGAAGCACCTTCAACTCTTAGGTTGTGCGAACCCTGTCGTCTGAGAGATAAAACTGTGGCAAGAGTACCATATAACCCCATACATTAATTATGCATTCAGACTAGTAGACTTTGTTTTTAAAGTTTTGTCGTGAAAGACAAAGGAGTGGAATGCATAATTAATGATGGAGTTATATTGTACTCTTTCCTAAAAGAAAAATACCCCATCCTAAGAAAAGTACCCCCTCAGCCTGTATTATTGAATGAAATATGTGTCCGCAGAGAACAGAATATTTAATACATTTAACCTCGGATGTTCCCAGCGGAATCACGCCTCTCGCAGCGTTTGTAACGTCGTCATGTTATCTACAAAAACTGACAATTGACATTTCCTTTTATGCTTAGTTTTCGTTTCAAATAACAACCTTGTGCACGCTTTTTAGACCTTCGAAAGAGAAAAGGATCGATAACAGGAATTGTTTGCAAGAAATGAAAAGAATTGTTTCAATTACGCTTCTTATATTTTAGTTTCAATGAATTTAAAATTCAAATTGACGCTATATAAAACTCCACAAGTCACCAACTGGTCTTCCGTGTGAGACATATCAGACTATCTTTTTAATTTTGCCTCCTTCTCTTAGAGTTACCCTATTATTGTCTCAAAATAGTGTTGCTCATCGTTAAAGAAATTTCAGTCCTGAACACTTTTAGTTGCTAATTAACAATTGGTTCATGCTTTAGCGTGCACTATCGAGTTATGGAGCACGCGGGAAGTTTGGAGAGCACGAAAGAAGCTTAAGAGTTGCCCGAGGCGATAGCCGAGGGCAACTCTAGCTTCTTGAGTGCTCTCGAAACTTCCCACGTGCTCCATAACTCGATAGTGCACAGCTGAAAGCATGAACCAATTGTTTTAGAACATAGCCGGTGGAATTGTGCATCAAATGCGACGCGAAAAACGGACAACAATATCAGTTGAAGCGAATCGTGACGGCGCTGATGCCGAGTCTCCTTTTCCTTTGTTTTTCTCTTTTTCTGCCTCATTTAAGAACTCTAGCCCATGGGAAAAGGTCGAAACATTGTCTTCGTTTTCGGACTAGCAGGCCGAGTTTCTGTTTGTATCCATTATTGTCGCGAAATGTATTATTTTTCCCCGCACTAGCAATGGCCGCTCGCGCGAAAAAAAAATTTCTGGCGAAGTCGGATTTGCTGACGCTATCAGCGTGCACTATCGGGATTTTGAGCACGCTTACGTATAATGAATTTGATTGCGCGACTCTGCTAGCTATGTTCTAAATTAAAATAGGAGAAATAGAGGGCCGATTAAAGAGTTGATTGACCTTTGTTTCAGTTTCTGTAAATCATGCGAACGTGATAGGGTGGAGCGGAAATGCGTGCAATGACTCGCCAGGATATAATCATTTGTCACATGTAATACGGCTTTTTCTCTTCTTGAAGCTGACCGAAGAGGAGCTGTATAATAAAAACAGAACTAAATATCCAAACTTCAAACAGTTTATTCAGGATCTCCTCGAAACGTGCTTCTGTTGCCTAATGTACGCCAACTACTTTAAATTTTCGCTAATTCTGGCGAGCTTGTTGTTTCTCACGGGATTTATCTCCCTGGCGGTTTTGACTACAACTCAAGTGATGCCCGCTCGAAAAGGGCTGAGCTACGAACAAACAACTTGTCGAGTAACACGTAGGGAGATATTTTGTGAAACTAACAACTGTAGTGAATGTAGCCCTGGAAGAAACAGTGCAGGTTCCTTGTGTCTCAGAGTGTACGTGCTTTGTGGTGATCATGACGAAACCGTAAACAAAAACCTTTCAAGCTACAGGGAAGGCGGATATCTGCTTCGTAAAGATGTGTACCACTTGAACGACAAGGTAACAAATTCAAGTAGTCTTATTCATTTTTTACATTTCATACAATTCCGCTCAAAGATGGATTATGACTCAGTTCTAGTTTCCAGATAGATAAGTATCTAATTTGTTATGCAACTGTTTTTTTATTTTGCATTTACATCAGCTTATCCCGAAAGTGAACCCCTCGAAACATCGAATAAAATTTCCATTTTTCCGATATATTATTTTCGCGAAAAACAATCAGCTAGAAGGGTCATAAGTTCAAGTGAACTATTCCTGTTGCAGACATTTTATTTACTCTTTTAATCAAGCAGATAGGGTAATAAAAAATATCTCAATGAAAGACTGAAAAGCAGAAACGGGCAGCTGTTTTGCTAATAAATCTCTTTATTATCCAACTACAGACCGTAGAGTACAAATAACGCCATAGACGAGTATAAATATCACGCGGTATTTGTACTCCAGAGTACCGGTTAAACAGAAAAGTTAAAAAGAAAAAATGACGTTATCAATTTGAATCATTCTGACGACGAAGAGTCGGAATGGCTGGCAAATATAGATCCAAGTTTACTTGATGAATCGAGCGAAGAAAAACAGCTATACGACTAGGAAATTTCTTCACTTATTGAGGAAAATAGAAGCAGCAACACGACAATTCCGTTCCGGTCAGTGTGAAACGCAGACTGCGGAGTGCAGACCGGGGGTAAAATGTAGACTGAGGGTAAAATGCAGACTGCAGACTGCAGACCAGGAGTAAAATGCAGACTGAGGGTAAAATTCATTTACAAGTCATTGAATAAGAATAGCGTCTATTGTGTTATACCTCATTTTTCAAAGCCTCCCGACATATGTAAATGATGTGGACGGGTATTCTGAAGTTGCTCCAATATTAATAATAAAAAAAACGAGTCTTAAGGATGAAAAAGAGTGTTCGTACCCGTAAAATAATGTCATGCCAGTATAAAAGTCACGTCGTCCCCAAGTCACATGGCATTATAAAATGTCGGAAAACGAGGAGGACGATCTCATGGTAATTTTCGATAATTTGCGTTAATGTCTTTCACAAACTATGCTCGATACCTACAAGTTTACCTTGCCTTGCTGTTGTGCTGTCGTGTTTTGCTTGCCTTGTCTTCCAAACAATTCCAAGGCCATATGAAGAATTTGGACGCTGAAAGAGTACTCGGTCCCAGACCTATTCGCGAAAGCACAATTCAAAATGGCCGACATGTAAACAAAGGTAAGATGCATAGCATTACGATCAGTTTGGGCGCTTTTGGGAAACTTGGTTCAACAAAATGGGGAGTTCAAGAACTCGAGGTTGATAGTATGTTTGACTCAGGCGAATAAACGCCTTTTGGTTTTAATCTTCGGAATTTTGAAAAAAAAACTACGGGTACGGGTAGGAACGCTCCCAAGTCTTGTTTTTTATTATGAATATTTTATTTTACCCTCAGTCTGCATTTTAACCCTGGTTTGCAGTCTGCAGTCTGCATTTTACCCCTGGTCAGCAGTCTGCAGTCTGCATTTTAACCCTGGTCTGCAGTCCGCAGTCTGCATGTTACCCTCAGTCTGCATTTTACCCCCGGACGGCAGTTCGCAAACTGCAGTCCGCAGTCTGCGTTTTACACTGACCGATTCCGTTCCGCTTCGCATACTTCTGTCTCGCACTCCCCGTAAAAAAATATCTGCGAAATTCGCCCGCACTGAAATAACAATTTGGCGTGTTAGATAATATACGTCAAAATACGGCACAACTCGTAAAAATACTCAGCGATACTACACAACAAAACGTCTAATTAACAATTATTCCACGAGTGCGCGTTGGATATGAGATGATAGATAGCCAACTCGGCGCTACGCGCCTCGTTGGCTATAATCATCTCATATCCAACAAGCGCGAGTGGAATAATTGTTTTATTAAAAACGCCCCCAAGGAATTATTATTTTGTAAGAAGAAACTGGATTTTTTAGCTCCCTTTTGATTTTAAGCTGACGCGTACGCTTATCATATTCGTAGATTATGGTATATTGGCTGATATACCATAATGGCTAAGCCAATAAAAAGTCTTGAATTGCATTATCCAATGATCCAGTTTTTAATAATAAGATATATTTATTAGCAACGGGAAGAGTCGAGGGATTCGCACCACACGCTATCGGGAATCACTCGCATGTGAAATTACTAGCTAAAGAAAGAAAAGGAAACGCATGAAAATTATTTATCAAAATGAAGCAATTCCTATAATTCAGAAAGAGCATATCTTACATTTCTGTGTTCCGAAAATTCTTTCTTTTCAGTGCACTCGAAAGCTAAAACCAATCTGCTCGGACCCAGCCCCCACCCCAAATGGACTGGAAGACTTTCAAGTTGGAGAAGGGAGGACTGGGCCTACGTACCAGTGCTATCGCAACCCAAATGTCCCGAATGAGGTCGTGTATGAAAATCACAGCAAAGAACATTATAGAAAAGTCGTGCTACACAGCGTTTTGTGGCCGACTGCTTTAATAGGACTCTCCATAGTAATTCTCACTGCAGCCATGTGCTTTTGCCCGATGCGGAGAGACTATAGAAAAATACCATAAACTGTTAAATGTGCTAAAACTGATAACTGAAAGTTAAGTTGGGTCCTGCTCGGATTTGAATTCCTGGCAGGGTAAATGGATGACCGATCTGACATCGCGGAAAAATATCGCCGGCTCAAGTCACAAGATACAAAGTTCAGTGAGAATTAAAACAAGTTGATATAATTGCTAACAATAAGGCTTCAGGTGTATCTGTACAGCGAGAGGGCAGCAAATACCTCTCAAAATAAGGTCATACACGATTCAGATCAATAGTTTAACTATTGAAGCTCTGATCTTAGGTAAATAAGTACTATTAGGTATAAAAACAGGCGTACTATACAAAGAGTACAATTGTTAACCTTGTCAACCATGTATAATGAAAACATGCCTGGAGAGTTCTTAAATTTGGAAAAAATTGGTAAGTAGAAGAGGAATGGAAATTTTCCAAATGAAATACTCTGTCAAGTACAATAGGCTTCAAGGATTTATAATTTGTTGACCAAAATTTTGTTAAACACATCAACATTCTCATCTTCAAATGGCAGTTGAAAAACCGTAATTTTTCTAAAGGAAAGTTGACCGATGAATCTTGGCCTTTAAGACCATGTAGTTCATTCTCATTTCCTCTGTAGTGGGGTCATAGTTTCCATTAGTCCGAGAAGGAAGTATTTTTGAAGTCACGTGGCGTTTTATGTTGTATTTCGCGCCATCCCTGGAGCAAGAAGCCTGGGTGATACCGTTATGCAAGCCACACAATGTCCTTCTATCGTCACACTCCGGAAAGCTTCTGTCCCTACGATTTCCTTCAACTGGGGGTATTTGGTTTCCGTTGTTTTCTCCTAGACGGTCTCTGGGATCACAACATGTATTCCAGAGGGATTCGCCATTCTCAGTGAGCCTCGGACCCATTATATCTTTTGTGTCTCCACACCTCACTTTTCTCCAAGGCTTTCTGTCATTCCAACTTGTCGGGCAAATAAAACTCGGTACGACCTCGACTGGCGGAAAAAGTCCTTTACTATTTTCACCAAAAGGTTTTACCCTGGAGTTCCTTGGCATCGAACTTGTATTGTCTCTTGTAGTGTACGGAGAGGCAAGCCAGGGTAAGACGAGATTTTCCCCTTCAAAACTTTTCCTCGATACAAACATATTTCTTCGGTTCAATTTCTCCTGTTCAATGTAATCATCCGAACAGGGCTTCCGTTCCGAATTTTCCTCTCTTCTAGATTTTCTCTCCCCTCTTTTTGGTGCATTCTGCTGGTCGATTACTGCCTGGCTGTTTACCTTAACTAATGACGTTGAATTATTGTGTTTCGATGAACCCAAAGAGAGGCTCGCCTTGTATTCTCTTTCGTGTATTTTGTTCAGATTGACATTTCCTCTTTTGAATGCTGCATTTTTCTGCCTGTGATAGATTTTCGGATGTAAATTTTTAAACGGATTTTCCATTCTCTCCATTTTGGTCTGCTTACTGTCTCAAGACTAAACGATGCTGTTGGCTGCTGATAACACGTTCAACAATCAGGACCTCTGGGAAGTCACTTCGTTCTTCGCTATAAAAAACAGAGAAGTCATACAGATAACTGATCAACTAATTATAGTATACCTCTTAAACAGAAAAACACTCGTTCCATATCAAGGCAGCGTTAACGATCTAGTTGCTATTTCTGATCAACCATTGAACAGTACGGCCAAGTTAAAAAAAGCTTCACATAAACCCTTAAATCAACCAAAGCGACCAGAAGAATTTTCCCTTATATAGTCACACTGATGCAAATAACAAGGTAAAATAACTTATCTTAAATATACAGCAGCAGGAGTCAGCTTCTCAAAAGTAACATCAGTTTTGAATAAATAAAGTTCACCTTATAATGACCTATTTATACGGCATTCTGATTCAAATTGACGAAGAAAAGCTAATCGCTGCTTTTTGACATCTTAGCATGACGAATGTCTCCCTGACTTTGGTATTAGTAAACAAACTGCTTATGGATCCAAATGTGTCTTTTGAGGGTAAACGAATATCATGGGAAAAATGGCGCATATCTCATTGAGACACTTCCAACTCAAGACTTTAAGTTCTTAACTTCAATTTCTTTGTCCCTGACTGTTCGAAGGGAAATTCATTTTACCTACTTCGAAAAAGGGAAAATCTTCCACATACATGTCATGTCCACATGAATTCAAAATTTCTCATTCTCATAGTTTAGGATTATTTTCAGCGGCGCATTTAAGTGACGCCGAAAATCTGCCGCTAACCACGAACATTTCTCCTCAGATTTATCTCTCTATAAGCCTCTATCACAGCCTAAATTTCACCACAACAGCTTAAGCTCCAAATTCTCTCTAACCAAAGGTTGCCACACTTACCTTCTCTCATTTCTACACTTTCGTGTCTGATGCGTCGACGACAGTTTCGCCGAATATCAAACATATAGGTACTGCGCATAGCAAAATGCTTAGCTGATCAAACATTGTTACCAAGTTACGCCTCTTATTCACCAAGGTGAACAAATATACGCTGATAACATCAAATTTCCTTTCCATTAGAATTAATCTACGTCGGGTGAGAGATGTTAATCATAAGTAGGTTTAATTATTAAGAGTCCTGTTCACAAAGTGAGTTTATCAAAATTATGACCACATCGTAATCAGAAAACCAAAAAATTACAAAGTCAATGGAAAGATTCATCATATTTTTGTAGATAAAACTGGCACGCAATACAATTCACATGCTTCGCTAATTTGTGCTAGGCCATGAGCACGAGATATCTCATTAAAATTTCAAATCGCTTGTCTAAAACTAGACCGAAAATGGTCATATTGATTTTGTTTTGATTGTCTCACAGTAACGAATGCTAACCTTTCAGATCAAGTCAACTGGGCATGTTTTTGGTGCGGCGTTCGAGAGCTTTAGGTGCTTATATAATAATAATAATGATAATGAAATAGCTAGATATTTTTCCCATCTTCAAAGGTCCTCTTACTCTATCTACTCCAAGTCTTTCAGAGAGGTAATACACACTCGGCGCAAAACAGCATTTAAACTGACAAAATTATCAATTGATTCATAAAAAATGAATTTTTCTTTGATGTGTTGGTTTCCTGGTTCCGACAAGATCAAGCTGCAGGCAAAATTTATGCTGCAATCATTTTTATTAGGGTATGGCAAAAAATCAAAAACACAAACAGCGAAGAATACCTCGAATATTGGATGCGTTTTATCAGCCCAACTTTTCAGACTAATCTTTTTTGTGGGCCGATCAATAACTCTAAAAAAAGACCACTGGACCAAAACTAAAGATCGTAGTTTGGTTATGTTGGGAAGAGAAAACTTACTATCGATGTCGATTCGTATAAGTTCGAAAAGAGAGCTTGCAGACTTCTCAAACTTCCTAATCATCGTTGTCGTTGTTTTGATTGTCATCGTCATCGTCATCATCATCATCATTATTATTTCAGACACTCTAGACAGTTCTATATCTTTTCTCCACAGCTATAAAAGCAGTCCGCTGACCAATGAGCTTGAACCTCCTTAAGTGTCAATTCCAAAAAGTATTGCGCTTCTTATTTGCATGTTCAGAATACAACACATACGTACTAAGTTCTCCAGAAATAACTCATCTGATAAAGAGTCGATCTGTTTACAAATATGCCAAATGTTCCACGTTTCAACACTCCACGCATTGACTAGAAACTTAAATCCCTGAGTGTTAGAGATATAATAATCATTATAGGATATATATTTGATTTAAAGGTTTTCGACAGTATTAAAAACAATTTTTTTTATTAAACTAACAAAATAAATTGTGAACCAGTTAATCAGCTACAGTAAACAAGCAAAAGTGATATTGATGGACAAAAGCGGTAAGCAGATAACTAAGCGAAAACGAACAATACTCAAAATGTAAGAATCACTCTTATCATGAACCACAGAAAAGAAAGAAACGAATCGTTCGCCCACGTTTTAAAATCTTTAAACTGAAATTGATACCAGATATGTTTCTTAACAACTCGTTTTAGTTTTGAGCTCGAATCCTAACAACTCTTGCTGTAGCTAAGCAACCACACAAACAGGAACAAACACCCTTGACTTATGACGAATTGACTCGAAATAGGTGAACAATAGCTGTATGGTGACTTGGTGCTGCATTGCTGTTTAAAACTGAATTTACTCCAGTAGAGTGTTTTTGAGGAGAAGTTTGCCTCTTCTTAGATCGGTAACTGAATCCTGTAGTTTCACAACGGTTATCCGGAGATTAAGCAGTCAAGAATATTGGTCATAAATGTTGTAAGCCAAGTTACATAATTTTATTTACCGTGATTGAGTTCAAGCCCGCGATAACTCTATAACGATACTTGATAACTATTAATCCTTGGTATCGGAAGAGTGTTAATGTAATAATGATTCAACAGCCTTAGCTGATATTAGGTATAAGAGCAACATTTTCTTTCAACATAATCCTTCGCATGTATTTTCTCTCTTCATTCGTAAACTCAATTTCAAAAGTCGATTTTTATCACCGTTTACACTGATTTAACAAATATGATTAGCATTTTGTACTCTTACTAAAGTAATATCATACAGTCAGTCGCCTCAAATTAACGATTTAGCCTTGTTTGAATATTGTTTTGTTTATTCATTGGGTACAATTTGTTTACGTTTTATAAGTTAGCAGAGTCAACTGCATGGCCTAAGCGATCGCAAGACTATAATTCTGATTATTTAGCAATAAAAGGATGAATAAAATGATTACTAGGCCCTTCGAGGTAACAATTTAGCAACAAGGTTGGCTGCAATTTTTGGTGAAAAATAATTGTGTTAGCCAGCTGATTAATTAGTGGTTCACATCGAGGCACGTATTCTAAACAGTTGGATTTCCCACTGTTATTAACTCTCTTCAGGTCAATATCTAAAATCTCTGAATCTCTGGAAGTGTTGTAGACGAGTTAAACGAGTAAATATATTACGAATCAAACGTTATTGAATTTTCATGTTATAATTATTTTTTGGATTTTATTGTAACTCTATGAGCTTAATAAGAAATTATTGGACGAGGTTGAGCGTGATATTATGAATCATCAAAACCGAGGTCTGAGTTGTCTGCCGGAGCCGATGGCTGAGGAACAAAACACAGACACGAAGTTTGATAATTCATGATATCATTCGAAAAACGAATTCAATAATAGTTTTATTATATATTTTAGACAATCTGCTTGCTTGCAAAAAAGGTACTTATCTGATGCAAAAATGGCTCTATTTCAAATGGTGCAGATAACACTGATAAGCCTCATCAAAAACTGCAAAAACCATCGGAAAACAAGGTACAATAATAAGATCTTTGCCTGTATAAAGTATATAGTAAAGTAGACCAAGCCTTCAGAGCATTCTACCAGTAATTCGAAGTCTTTTTAGTTGTTGAAAATAACGTTACATTTAGAAAAATTGTACGTTATAGAAACCTGGGCAGTAGAGGTACTCATACAAACTCTTTTTGTGACACAGAAAACATGTATAGGCGATGACGGCACGTTATTTTCTATAGCAGTCGACTTTTGTTTACCTTATTATTGTTAAATTGACTTATTATGAAAAATCTGACTAGTCGAGCGGAGCATTCAATCAATAATTGTTTAATAATACATTCTGGAAGCGTTCAACCATTTTTAGTGTCTGTATGAGTTTGCAAACGCTTGAAAATACTACACAGACTAGGGGCTTGGAAACTACGCAGACTTCGAACTAAACAGGATGAATGCAATATCCGCTGCAGATATTGGATTTAGCATGTTGACCTCACAGGCCATTGCAGTGGCGGATCCAGGGGGAAGGTCCGGGGAGTCCGGACTACCCCCCCCCCCGCTTATCAGACCTGACGTTTACAACTTTGACTGAAATTCTTACATTGACAGGATCGTATGTAACACTTTTTACTGGCTGATTTTTTTTAATGAATCCAAGTAAACGGTAAGTGGCCAAGTAATTATAAAGTGCAATCACTACTGGTGGGAGGGGGTGTGGGGGGTGTGAGAGACAAGTAATTTGCCCCGGTCCAACAGTCCTTTCTGAACCAAATTTTGGACCCCCCCAGTCAAAAATTGCTGGATCCGCCCTTGCATTGTATATCGATTGCATGCTCTTGACCAATCAGATTTTTCATAGTAAGTCTAATGTGTAATGATATACAATATCGCGTGAAGTTGACATGATAAATCCAGTATCTGACGCGGATATTGCATTTATCATGTTTCTCACTCAGAGAGAAACTCAAAATGGCTGAACGCTTCGCCTCTGTTTCTGCGGAGGATTTAAAACTTTGGATTGAAGATAAAGATTCAAAAAACACTAAGAGAACAACAAAAACAAGTGTAAAGATTCTGAATGATTATTTGACGGAGAACAACTTGGTAGAACCACAAGATAAAACTGCTTTAGCCAATGTTCTGAAGAAATTATACGCCGAGGCTAGGAAAATTGACGGCAGCCCGTACTCAAAAAGTTCCATGAATTCTTTACGATTTGGACTCAACAGGCATTTCAAGGCAAAAGGAACAGACATTATCAAAGACCCAGAATTCGTCGAGGCAAATAAAGTGTTTCTAGCGAGGTGTGTCGATTTAAAACGGCAGGGTTTGGCGAAGGTTGAACACAAACCCGCTATTTTAGCAAACGACCTTCGAAAACTGTACGAGTGTGGAGTTTTTAACTTAGATGATCCCAGAACACTTCAAAACAAAGTCTTTTTCGAGATGATAATGTACTTTTGCCACCGCGGCCGGCAAAACCTCAGGGAACTGAAAATAAAAGACTTTTCATTCACAAGAGATGGCAAAGGCGCTCGATATGCGTGCAAAACCGGCGATGAGTTGACAAAGAACAACAGAGAGGACGAAGTAGTCTCTGAAGGTGAAATGATGTTCGAAAAAGCTGGACCTCACTGTCCCGTTGCTTCTTTGGAACTCTATATAAAACACCTCAATCCCAAGAATGATTTTTTGTTCCAAAGGCCAAAGAAAGGAAGTAAAATCGGAGTTGACGATGTGTGTTTTGATAATATGGCTGTTGGTGAGCGCACGCTCGCCGAGAAAATGAAATATATCTCTAAAGAAGCAGAATTGTCAAAGGTTTATACAAATCATTCAATAAGAGCCACTGCAGCTACAGCTTTGGATAAGTGTTGGCATGAAGCGGGCCACATCATGGCTGATAGTGGCCACCAAAGTGAGCGAAGTATACAGAGCTACTGCAAAACAGACACTGACACCAAAATCATTCATATCGTGTTTGTAAATTTGCCCGAGTGTCGCCCTGCGGTTGAAGAAGATCAAGATTTCAGAAACAAACTTAGATGGCAAAAAGACTCTGGAATAGCAAGGGGATTTACAGTGTAAACTGTGACTAGGGATCACACTTACAACATCTCGTATTATTATACATAGACTTACTAGTTCGAGAGTGTTTAATAAATGTTTAATAGCATGTGGAGTTGAGATTATAATCCAATATCTGCAGTTAATATCGTACTTATATGTCGAGTTCAAAATCTAGCTGGTTTCCAAGCCGCTCGTCCATGTGTTGTTCTCAAAATTTTTCAAACTCAGAGAGAGAAGTGTCTTCCTTTGCAGAATGTTTGAAAATGTATAATAAAATTACCGGTTTTCCCATGATATCATGATTTATCAAAACTCGTGTCTATGTTGTCCACCTCAGCCTTTGGCTTCAGGCTTCGGTTTTCATAAATCATATCAAACCCAACCTCATCCAAAAACTGTTTAATATCATGCTCAGCCTCATCTAATAACTGCTTATCGTTGATGAAGAGTTATGCTTGAAAAGCTTGAAATTACTAATAAAGCTTGAATTCATTAACTAAAGTTGGATAATGTATTTTGGATTTTTAGCCATTTATAAGATGCGATTGTTTTATTAGGGACTTTAAGCAGTCAGTACGGCAACGCCACGGAAGACCTCGGTTAAAAAATGAGTTTCTACTTTTAGTTAGAATTTCGAAAATGGCTGCATGTGTTTACCGTCTCATAGGGTGCCACACCTCAAACTCAACATAACGCATAAAAGTAGCGTTGAGATCCAAATGTAAATTAAAATAATTTGCCGCTGCGGTTTCGCTTCGCAGACGACGCAAATTTTGGTGATTTCACGTTGTTGTTTTGTAAAAGACGGCTAAGAAATGTACAAAGTTTTAAAACTCACGTGCTGGGCTATTGCTCTGCCAATTAAATCAATTGTTTTTCCACGTTCTCGTTGACGTAGCCGTCGTGGTTTGCTTAAAGTCCCTATTGTCTCATCAACGGCAGTAAGTTATATTTGCAAAATGATTACATCTTTCACTCCACAAAACGGGAATAAAAAATTAAACAGACCATAAACAAAAGCATTATGCTTAATTGGCTTCAACGTTTACCCCACAGAGACATACGCAACTGTGTAACGGAAACCACCGTCACCTGTTACTGAGGTTACATTAAACGACACTTGTCCACGTCAGCGTTTTTTTGTTCCAAGATGTAATTTTCCTTAATTTTTTCCCGTTTCAATTTCATTCTGATCAAAGTCACAAATAAATTGTGCGTCCAAATGAATGAGAATGATCGTGAAGTAATACAATTCTGAGAACGTTAACGTTTTCGAATCGATCCGTTTTTGTCATAAAACACAGTCGTTTTCAAGTGTTTTAGTGCGGACGGAAGGCCAAAACGCATCGAAAAGTATCCGTTTTTAAATGAAAACGCATTAGTGTGTGGACAGGGTCTGAGATATCTCTACAGTTGAGAAAGGAAGGGCACTTATAAGACGAGATAAACCCAGATTGTAAGAGCACAAACATTGATTAAATCCGGAATTGAGCAAGATGACGGCCATACCTTCCACATGACCTTCGGATTTGAAGAACGCCCGAATATGTAACAACTTTGGCGAAATTAAATTGACGCTTACCGATTAAATACTAATTGTTAATATTTCATCGTACAATCTAATGGACCCGAGCATGAAAAGAAAATGTAAGTTAACAAACTGATACAATTGAACAAACCAGTATCAATCGTTATGGTAAATATGTTGTGTTATGTAAATAACAACAAGTGATGACGTAGACGTTGAGCAAAGCACTTGAGAAGCACTTAAGGAAAAAATACAGCTGAACTCCTTTGTTTTTATATAAAGCATGACCGCCAAGAAATTATTTCAATGTCAAATGAGGTTTAATATCTAATTGAGAATTATTTTGGTATTTGTGAAGTTTCCTAAATTTTAATCAGTATAAATGTTTTCTTGTTGATGTGTGGCCCTTCAAGAATTCACCTAAAATTGAAACTTTTCAAACATCCGTCGAACCCTTTTATCGCTATCTGGGCAGTTGGAATTACGTCAAGAAAGAATGTTATCCAATCAAGATTGCGACAAAACAAAGGAGCATTTTGTTTCCTAATAAAAATAATAAAGCCTTCTCCGCCAAACTTGATTAATCTTCTTTGTTTGAAAGCGATCAATGAATCTCAACAACCAACAGAAATGTGGGTGAAAGATCGCTTCTAGTGAGTTCAGGGAATTTCAAACATTTGTGTTGTATTTCAAATTACAGAATATACTTTTTCATCGAGGTTTGGTGAACTTTTGTCTGTTTTCCAGAAGTTGAAAAAATAATCAGTACTTCCTTTGTACATATTTTTACACCTCCGCTAATGGCCACATTAAAACTTGCGAAGTCTAATACAGCCTTAAGTAGATATCTACCCCCACAGAGGTGATTACAGCCACTGTTCGCATCATTTGGTTTACGGAAAATAACTAAATATTTGCCATTTAGTTATGTAAAATAAATTCTCGCAAACTCTGGTACCTTCGAGTTTTCAACTGTTCGGAAATGTCGTTCACTGACTACTTAAAATTATGGACAAATGCAGTCTTGCGCGAGAACAGTCGGTACACATTTTGACACCTTTTGAACAAAGTACAATGCGTTGTTTTGTCATTATTATACACGTGGTATTTAATACAGCTTTGAGTTACCTATCGTTGATGTCTACAAAGTCTCCTCGTCAGCATAAGTACCTCAAAACCGAGTTTTCTAAATGACTTTGGCATCCCTGATTAATACGTTGCTTAACAGTGTTGTTTGTTATTCACGATTTGGAGCCAAAATGTTGCGGTGAAAGCCGCAATCCACGGAGTGTGGGAGTACCTCTGAATGTCTCTCATATCGGTCTTATTCTACTGTCCTGTCACTTTAAAGTGGAATCATCTACGTTCTTCGTCACGATGATAGACACCATTCACTGTGAACGGATCTTCGTTCTCGTAGTTTGATTTGACGTTCAAAGCATCCTTTGGCAGTATAACTACATCATTACGGTGTAGCGATGGAACACAGCTGGGTCGTTCCAACTGATTATGCCTCAGCTCAGTTTCTAAAGGTGGAAGATTGGTTGAAAGGAGCGAAACTCGCCGCTCTTTCCTCGAAGTATCACCTCTAGCAGGTGAAACTACCAAGCGATCACAAGGTGAACGACTCCCGCGTTCAAGCAGAGGTGCATCGCTTAACGATCTCCATCGAGATCTTGGGATTAATTCGGACTCTTCGTTGTTTAAATCAGCGGGACAACTTCGTCTCTTTGGAGTGCATGGATCGACTCGAATCGATGGCAACGGTTCGTTTGGTCGAGTCACCGAAGCTCTTCTCAGCAAAACTTCATCAAAGAGAACGTTTGACTCAACATCTTCTTCCGCTCGTTTTCGAATCATTTCGAGGACTTCCTTTGTGTGTTCCTCAGTTGGACTGTTACGTAAAGCTCTGTTTCTTATCTCTTCCGTGTTCCTCATACCGCTATAGTTGGAAAACTTTAATCGAAGATGTCTGTTTCTTTGACTAAACTACGTCTAAGATTTGTGAGTGAATGACTCATCGATCTTCTAAGTCCTTGTTATAACAGTTTGTATCCAAAACAATTACAAACTTGCGTCAAATGAGCTATTTATGTTGTACTCCGCCGAGGATAATTGCGGCTAAATGCAACGTAATCAGCGCAACTGAATCGAACCGTTTATAAGGGAAATAATGACGCTACCACAGCGACAACACATCAGTAGTAAGACTAATATCACTTAACTATAGGTAAAGGGCAAAGCTAATTAAGACGGTCCAATAGCTAATGTGCAAGTGCGACCTCTTAACCCATTGTTTCCTTGCCTGAGGGACTTTAGCTGACTTTAGGCTAATTAATCTTCATTTATGTATAGAATAAAGCTTTGTTAACAAACACAGAACAATCAGTAGATTTACTGGGGTTTGTCAAAGCTCCGCTCTCTGCAATTATGTCTCAGCTAAACGACGCCTTAATCTTTTGAACAAATTGATCAAAGAAAGTAACATTGCTATTAGCTTTGCAGTAAATGGTTTGAGCCCTGGGGTAACATGTGAAGGTGTAGTCTGATCGTCCGGGTGAGTGTAGTCCTGAGAAGGACTGTTGTCGGTGGTAGTGACTGACGTTTCGACAACCTGTACGGAAGTCATCATCAGAGTCAAATGAGCTATTTAAGACTCTGATGATGACTTCCGCACAGGTTGTCGAAACGTCAGTCACTACCACCGACAACAGTCCTTCTCAGGACTACACTCACCCGGACGATCAGACTACACCTTCACACGCTATTAGCTTTGTCTATGAAAAGTCTGAAAAGCTTTGCAAATATCTTGTCGGGAATTGATTGAGAGCATTTTTCAATCGAAAAATTATGAGTGGGCCAAAATGTTACGACATAAATTTATGTCATTTTTGAGGCAACATTTATGATTCCAGAACTGCATATTGATTTTCCTCAGTCATTGCAGGGCACTTCAACCGTGGAGGTTTGAGGGAAGAGCCCTGTTGGGACAGATTCAGTTTTATGACCGTAAATGGTGGTTCGACCAGTCCGCCCAAGTCTGTGTCAATATCAAGAGTATAGTAAGATCTTTAGAGCTCTTTACAAAAATTATATGTTCGATTCATATATGTCAACACCGGCACCCTTTTCGAGGGACAATTCGTTCTTCTTGAACTTTAAATTTCTATCACGGGAGCCTAAGCACCCTTTCATGCAAAATAATGAAATAAGCAGAATGAAGATGTTTGGATGCCGTATGATGAAAACAAGTTTGATTTTACTTCATTAATGATGAAGTCACTTCCCTTTCTGATTGCTCCTTCTGTTCTATCCTTGAAACAATTTGGTACAAGAAATGTTTATTTTATAAAATCCATGTGATGAAATAATGAATGACCATAATAATGGTTTCAAATGAAGAAGATTACAGTCTTTGTTTTGTTGAACCTTTCAATTTCTGTAAAGAGTACTTCTTGAGAATAAAACTATGACTACGTGTTCAAAACAGAAAAAGTCAGTCTAGTTATAAGTGATTTAACTGCCATTCAGTGATACCACCCACTTGGGCAATAACAAGCTAACGGTTTCCGTTTGGGTAAGGGAGTAAAATTTCAATGGTTGTTTCATCCTTTCTCACAAGGGCCAGTTGGAAAAAATGGACTGGACTCTGGACTGGACTCTGGACTGGACTGGACTGGACTGGACTGGGCTGGACTTTACTTTTTTGTTAAATTGTATTAATATTAAATGGAGTTAGTATTTTACTAATTATTTTTAGATTTAAAAAAAGATAAGAATTAATCTAAAAAATTACCCGAACGCTCCTCTGCGGTAGCGCGTGGCTCGCGAGATATAAATTTTGTTCTGCGTGCAGCCTGTCTGTGAGTGTAAAATGTACTACAGTCGGGCGTCTTCTCCAATTTATTTATTTATTTTTTTTGGCATACAAGGTACTGTAACTCGTTATTCCGTGTTTTGAATCTGTCAACACTTTTGAAGGTTGGAAACATATCTCACTCACCGGCAGGCTGCACGCAGAACAAAATTTAATCTGATGAGGCACGTAATCTCTCGAGTGCCGTTGCCACGTTATTTTCTTCCTGTCAACTCTGTGTTAAAAAATGAACTGTGGAAGAAGTGGTTTCTTTGACAATGGAGAAGAGGAGGCTAGATCCAAGCGTACATACGCTAGTGTTGTCAGTGGAGACGATCAGTCAACTCCGTTGACAAATTCCTGGTGGAAAAAACTCCAGGAAGAAAATGAAGAAGAAGCCATTGCCCTGGCCACCAAGAACTCGATCGAAGAGCTGGTAAAGGTAATTCATTTATTCATCTAGCTAATCTGACTAAACACAAATGTTTGGAATAAGGCAACTGTTTACTACTCATTCTTCTGGAATTTGCAAAGTAAACCTAATGCATGAAACGTGGCAATCGCACTCGAGAGATTACGTGTCTCATCGGATTATTAATCTTAAACTTGCCAATACGGTTGTTAACACACCTATCAGTAACCTATATAATCCAGATATTCCCAGAACAGAACCTCTGAAAACAAAGCGTCTTTTTTTACTGAAAATCGCACGCTAGATACCGGAAGTTTTCTCGCGCGGGCCTCGCGTGGACATGGCCAATCTATAGAAAAATTTGAAAGTAAAATGTTGACATCGAATTGTTCTGTAAAATGTACTACAGTCGGTCGTTTTCTCCAATTTATTAATTTTGTTTTTCGCATACAAGGTACTGTAACTTGTTATTCCGTGTTTTGAGTCTGTCAACACTTTTCAAGCTTGGAAACAAAGTGCATTTTACACTCACCGGCAGGCTGAACGCAGAACAAAATTTATATCGCGCGAGCCACGCGCTATCGCATAGGAGCGTTCGGGTAATTTTTTTAGATTAATTTTTATTTTTTTAAAAATTTAAAAATAATTAGAAAAATATTAACTCCATTTAATATTAATACAATTTAACAAAAAAGTAAAGTTCAGTCCAGAGTCCAGTCCAGTCCAGAGTCCAGTCCATAATTCCAACTGGTCTCCCATAAGACAATCATGCATTGATCAATGGCATGAGGGTTGGGAGCAATTAAAATGTTTTGAATATAATACCTTTGGGAACTCTAGAAACTTCATTCGATTTAATCAATTAGAAAAAAATGATTTACATAAAGACATCATTCCTTTTTGGTGGACAACAGGAGATTTAAGGTAAAACCGATGTTAAAGCTTAGAAGTACAATTAAGTGAAAGTTCTGTTTGTGCTCGTTTCTCGTATTTGCATTTTTGTTTTACACTGTATAACTCTGGCATTAGCCGATTCTAACTGTGCATTGGAACATTCTCCTAACCATCAATGAAAACGGTAGCATGCGTTGGACTTTATCTTCATTATCTCAATTCAGAGCTATTTGGACCGCGATAGCGATGCAGCTATCAAGCTCAGTATATCTACTGCCTTAATTCATATGTTCTTGATGTAAAGAGTTTTGTATAAGGAAGAGTAACAAGATTACGCGTAGGTTGAAATTACAGAAAACTTTGATTTTGTTCAGTTATGCATCACAATTAAACAACTGCAGAATTTAATTAAAATATATGTATGCTTTTACGATCGTGACAACAACTCCCTGTCGTTAGGCACTGTTGGACCTCTTATGATTTGTATTCCGGTTACTCGTTCAAGACGTGAAACCAGCTGAATAACGTCAGTGACTTTGACTTGCTTTTAGGGGAAATTGTCTTCAACAGCGAGCCAGTTTGGATTAAGGATGCTTTAAATTTGAGAAAGTTACTTGTAACGTTGCATGTTGGTACATGTTGGCAATAACGAGAATACAGATAATGTTAATAATGAAAGGTATGTGACTGTGGTTAGTTTAACTGTTACAGGTTGTTACACTCGCAAAACACTTGACCACAGAGAAAAAACGGCAGAATGTGAATGTTACAACATACACCTTAATTTAGTTGGTGTTGTAATGGGTCACGTTTGAAAAAGAGCGTTGACAAACTTGGAAGTGGCGCCATAGATATAGTTGCGGGTTTTTTATTTTTAATTGCACAACACTAAAGAGAGAGATATGTGCTCCGATGATCACGGAAAACAACTTTGCAGTCTCCATGACTTCCTGCGTCTCGTAACTGTGGTTACTGACCACAGGCGGAGCTTTGCCGTAGTATTTTTGTGATACGTATACATCACTGGCAACAAAAGAGATCATGCAAACACTGAGGAGACTTTTATTGCTTGATGAACAGGAATTTCAACTAATCTTCTGAAAACACATCAAGCCCAAGTTTGTCTTCTTTAGATGGCAGTAAACAACCGATATGGGCATTTTAAGCCGGAAAGAAAAGCAAAACAACAGGATACATTCACCGTCAGAGGTAAGGTACAGTCTTTCAAATTCGTTTCAAAATGATCACTTGCTTCAAAACTTAAACGTTTGATTAAATTGCAGGCCATTTAGGGTAAGTTTAGGGGTAACCATGCAGGCAGTTGGGCGGCTTTTTGAATCAAGCTCTACACTAAAGAAAACTAGAAAATGCATATACAATCGTGAATACCTCTAAAACCCACCTCTTCTGCTTTATCATTATGCCTTTATTTGATAAACCAAGAATGAAATGTTATATTAAAAATGTTATACACTACTCGCATTTTTCTTGTGCTTAAAGTGTTGATTGATTATCCACGAAACGTATGCTAAAACTTAAAAGCCATGTATTCTTAGCCGTAAAATATCAGTAATAACAATCACAGGTAGAAGTCTTTACTCTTCCACATAAAAGAACGGAATTATGCGGTGAAATATCATATTGCTCATGTCTGATAAGCCACAGAGTCTGTGCAAGTTTCAGTGAGTTAAAGGAATTTGAGCGAGAGAGAACATTTGCCAAGGACATAGCAACTAGCAAAGCATTGCGTCAGTTTGGTCCGTCATGGTCATAACTGTCAGGAAATCTTAATAGTTAACTCTAAATGGTGTATGCGATGACGAAATATTTTAACCGCCTGAGTATGTAATTTGAAAATATAAATAGAAAAATTAATCATTTCCATCTCTTCGACTTGCAATAGAAGTTCAAATGAAATTTCATGTGATTAGTTACGATGGTTTTGAAACTTTGAGGCTTAAAAACAATATCTGAAACGTTTAGGATGTCTTGCTCTCTTTTAGGTAATCCTTGTGTATAATCCCCTTTCCTACCACTGCTCAAAATTATCACACAGACTAAATATTTTCGTAAGCAGGATGTAGCTGAGAAGAAGCTAACTAAATGACAAAGCTAGCAACAGAAATCCTCCAACTGTTGACGGCAGGGAATCTGAAATGTCAAATACATTTTCTGCATAGAAGAAACCCGAAAAACATCCAAGAATGCTTATTTCAGCAACGGGAAACTCAATCTTAGATTTAAAGAGGAGTGGGAAGTTTACATTACGGGCTCCACATAAACTTAGCCTACAGAACCTTGCCGGAAAAAAACTACGCAAACTAACGGTCTGCAGCTACGTAAGTAAATGTTTACCCACACATGGAAAATTTAGACAGATTTCTCAAAGGATTTTAGCGGCATTTCTGTTGGAACTTTACCGATTTTGTCACTTTTAACTGTTATGAGTTAAGAGTAAGTTTCGTATATGAGAACGATCCTTCGCAGTAAAGCACTATTTGAGCAATAGTTTCATATGTTTGTTGTTGTTAAGAGTAAGTTTGTTTGCCATTCAATTCAGCGAAGAAACAACGAAAATATTTTTTTGCACATTAAGAGGGCTAATGTTTCCTTCAGGCTGGCGGTGATGTTTAAAAGCATTATGACGTTGCTGATAAATTTGTGATTTGATTTTCTCGATAATTAGTTCAAGTTTTTCCACATGGAAAATAGACTTTCGGCACTGGTGGAAGCTACACACGCGTCCTTCATAAAACTTTTATGAAAATGCTTTTATTCTGGATTTAATGGAGAAAAAAGGAGAAAAAGGAGCGCGTAGGATTCGAGCAACCCTAAAAAATGCCGAGGTTCGTGTGGGAAAGTAGCATTAAGAGTAGACTGATATAGAGACCGCGGGCCGCGGGCTCAATATTAGGGGACATCCTTAGATACACGTAAACAGTGTGTGGCTAACCCACTAAAATATTAGATTGACTTTACTCATTGGTTCGAACATCAAAGATATTCACTTTTATCTGCAATGTGATAACAAATGTCATCTTTTAATCATAGAAATTCTCATAAAAAAAGTCATTACCACAATCTCTCGCTTTTATTCCTTTCATAAGCTGACGTTGTTCATTCGTGTAATTAAGTTCAAATTAAATTGGCCTTTTAATTAATGTATAATGGTTTTTATGTCTTTGAACTGATAAAAATTCTAAACATGCGCAAAAATATTGCATATTAATGCTTCGAAAACGTGGCATAGAAGGTATTTATCTGATTGCAGTGATGAAAAGTGTGACAAGAAAGTCGTCGAAGAAATTGAGAAAATACAATATTAATATTGAAGTCAATTGATTATCAATATGATCCACTCTACTATTGGCTGTTTACTGATGATATTTTGTCTGCCTTACTCACGCAGGGCAAATATAATTAACGCCAAAAATACGTAAAAAAAGTCCCTTCTCGAAATATCGTTGAACAGACGTAGGCATGTGTGTGACTTCAGTCTTCCAATCAACTAGTTCACTGCCTGGGTGTCGCGTTTCTATATAAACTTTGGACCATAGAAGAAAAATACAGCATATTTCTTCGCTGCGTGTTAATAAATAATTCTTTACTGTTCCAGCAAAAAAACACAGCGTCAAAGAGGTAAGCAAATTACTTCGGGTATATTACCCTAGGGTTCACATTGCCAATGTTTTTCATGCCCCTTTGTAGCTGTCGGTAAAACTATGTTCTCACGAACGCGGCTACTGGGTAAATGGGAAAAATCTGTTAGTCTTCTGAGGTTATCTATTCTAGTAGTTGACAATACAACTGAGATCTGATAAATAAACGGATCTTTGCCGAGTACATCTCAAAGATTTGCCAAAATGTGTGGTTAACATTTGATCAGGGAAATGTCTCTAGTTAATACTTGAGAAAAGAAAAGTGGATCTACAAATAAACTCTTGATTTTCCAACAACAGAAGGTAGAAAGTAGGTTTAAATCTATACTCGAAACTGCACATTGACTTCAGATTATTATAATTTTCCTTTATGGACAGCCAACGAATTATCTTAGTAAAGCTGAAAGGCCACTAGAGTATGTAAATCACTAGGAAAAATACCTCTACCAATCTTGCTTCAAAGACTCGCACAATGATGCAAACTAAACTGATTAAGGTTGGAAACTGTTAGTATTCTCGGCAGAAAGAAAACCGTTCATGCTAAGTTACATACAGCTCTTGCAATCAAGGCCGAACTATTTGAAATCATTCATTTGGCATAACAAAAGTTTAACATGGTGATATTTACTTTCATAAATGCCAATATTTTAGTCCAATACCAATGTTGATATTGATTGAAAAGTTATCAGTGAGGTGTTATCTTCACCATGAAACCTTTTCTGAGGAAGATGTTTTGTTATTGACTTGAATACCATTCTGTTTTTAGAGTCGTTTTCTGAAGGAATAACAGCAAACGTGGAGATATAGGAGAGACTTGAACTGCATAAAAAATAAAATTCACTAACAGCCACTGAAGATTTTTCACTTTTTGATTTTGTGCACGCCTCAAGGTTCCATGAAAATGCTCAGTTTCTTTCAAACTTTTTTCTCCGTTTTTTAAACAAATTAGCCGTGAAAGATCCTGAAATAAAAATCATTCCGGTTGACATCATTGGATTATTTTACGATTAGAAAACTAATGTGTGTTTTCGTCAACTATTCGTTGTTTTGTTGGTTCACCCTTAGAAGTGATCGAAATTTGCTAATAATAATAATAATAATAATAATAATAATAACACCTTTATTTAAACAAGATAATGTTTCAAAGCTGACCAGCTTGTGGCGTCATGTGTAAATGAAATAAACTACTAAATGAAATAAAAATCATGCGCTTGGCCATGATGTAAAAAAATGAGCGTCTATTAAAGTATTAAGTAAAGAAAGTTCTCCCCAGGTGAGAGACTTCTCGGTATTTGATCTTAAAAAGTTCCAAGTTTATTTACAAAAAAATACTTGAAAATGCGTTTGGTTTTCTTTTTCATGACCTACCAGTAAAACTTGCGTGTTCTCTTTTTATTATTGATCAAACTAATTTACTCTTCAAACTGATATGACGAATTTGATTACGGAACTTTTAATGATGATGAAGAAATACTTCCTTAGGATAACATCTTTTCCCAAGCCTTTTTTTCTATTTTCAATGAGACTGGACCTGACGCTTTTAACAGGATATTTGCAGTTTGACTAAAATGCATGACAAGTCTGTCAAAATTAGCGTTCTTTAGATGACATCTGTGGTATATTTTCATAGAATTATCCTCGCGTGAGTGTATGTGTCAAGCCCTTTTCTAAAAATATAAGCTTTGATATACAATGTAGAATGAAGTTATTGTTCATGTATTCGAGGGATCTTTGTTAGGAAAGGACACACTTGCCATAACACATAGTGAGGTGGTAGTTTGTAAGATCGAAGTTCGACCCAAATTAACTACGTCTTCAGTAAGGTTTCACGAAAATGTTACCTCGCACAAATAGAGTATTAATAATGCATATTTAAAAACTCCTATTTAATAATTCATATTTTATATTTCGTGATAAGAGCGCTTAGTCATTCATCTGTTTTCAAAATTGATAACTTCGATGAGAAAAAAATTCTTGAAGACATGGTTTTTCATGTGAAAAATTAATCACCACTTTTTTTCTTTTCATTGTGACAAACGTAGAGATTGTGCAAAGTTTAAAAATCCCCAGGGAGTAGTTTTCCTTACGGTGATGGACGAAATATCATTATATGTGACTTATTCATTACATTGGTAGGGTTCCACCTCCACAGAGAGATTAACTCCTCAAAATACACCAGTAAACCATTAAAAGCCAAAACATTACTGTGCAAATATGCTTTGCCCTACACGAATATGGCCTCTGACAACCCTCCAGTGGCTTCCAGTTTCGTATTTAAGCTTTCTTCGTTTTATTTTTAGTCTTGTCTAAACAATTGCCTCCAAGCTAAGAAACCATGTTACTACTGACAAAGCCGGCGCATTTTAAATTTTAATCATCACGATACAAAGTTATTTATTTGTACAAAATATTTGATCCGATATCTGGTAAGTTATCTTTCGAAATATGCATGAATCGGATATTTTTCCTTGTGTTAGAGATTGCTAGATCCGGCGTTTTCTCTTTTTACCAAGAGGGAATAAGCAACATTACAAGGGAAATTGAAACAAGAATTAGAAAACATGCCTTGGTACGTGATCTCGATAGTTCAGTTTTTACAATCCCAATAAAACCTAAGAACGCGTACAAACGCTGGTGCAGCTGAAAACTTTGCTCATGTCTTGATTAGTCGATACCCCGAAGGGTGAAATAAATGCTGACTTACCTTGTGTTTTTCCTACTGTTTGTAAACAAAAAATACCGTTGCTAGCGAACAAAAGAAAAACTTTAAAATATTGGCACTGGAAGAACGAATGATGCCTTCTTTCCATGTTTGTAGCAGATTATCGGTCAAAAATAGCAGACATTGTTTCATACAATATCAGGCACATGACCCAACCACGTGTTATTTTGTTTTGTAAAGTAGGACGAGTCACGATATAAATCTCGGATGAGAAAAAGACAGGATAAAAGCGCAGCAGGGTACGAAAAAATTCTGACTTTTAATCACCTTTGTAACAAGACAATTCAACAAGAAAAATGACGTTTATACTTAGTTTATTTTGTTACACGTGGTAAGGCATAATTCCGGCTGCGGACAGCGTGTCTGGGGAAGCGAAAGTTCTGGCGTTCAAGTATAACGGGCGTAAAGGTTTTCTTTTTTGCTGCACAGCTTAATAACGCGCATCGCTGCCGTCATTTCCGTGTTACACGCGTTTAAGACGTTGCTAGAAAGCAGGGGGGTCCGAAGAAATGTTAAATTCTCTCCGATAAGAGGAAAATCAAATCACACTCCATGGTAAATTGTATTCCTTTGAATTCGCTCATACATAATCACGGTTCCAAAAACGTGGTGCTTCGAAAGTAAAACCACGCGGTGACCCGGAATGATCCTATCTGAGCGGGAAAAAATAAAATTAAAATACGATTAACAGTCGCTATGTTCAGATTATTTGATTCATTTTCTGGTAATTTCTGTGCGTCAAGGTAGGGAGAGCGCATTGAATTGTTTTTACCTTAAAAGCGATGTTTATAATAATAACTGATGACCATGAAAGTAGGTTACTATAACTACAAACGATTGTTTGTTGTGCTTGGCAGGTGAGGCAGAAAGACTGCAGGTTTTCCCGATGAAGCAAATCGATAACGAACACTGTGATGCTGACAGTGGAATGGCGCCAACAGCCCCATGTTATCCAAGAGTCCCGAGGAAAAAAACTCAGGAGCAACAAGCTGTAGTAGACGAGATACTTCAAGTGGTTGCTGATCAAGGAAGGCGTTTTTCGCTTTCGCGAACGGACTATAGCGTTCAAAAGAGAATTGAATGTGGCTTACGGAGGCAAAAAAGACTGACAAGCGACGCGTCTAGGTTTGATGATTCCAGTTCATGTGCAAGCGGCTCCGACCTTTCTACATCACCTCCGCCGACACGACATAGCAGTATAAGTATCAATTCAAGCTTTTCAGATGATGGCAAGATGTTCGAATATAGCAGCCGACCACGAACTCTCCCACCGCTCAACCGAAATAGAAGCCACCGGCCGGCTCGGCCGACGCCTCCTAAACAGGACTTTGACGAGGAGCGTGAGATTAGCTGCTCTGGCACTTTGTCGAGACCATTGTCCGCGCGAGGACAACGATCACGCCCACAGAGAGGGTTCACGTTATAGTTCACTCCAGAGAACGGAAAACATTGAGTGAGATCGTCATATTGCTTCAAAGAGAACGTGAAATCCTATTTATAGAGGGAGCGTTTTGGCTTGAAGTTTTTGTAGCGTAGAGCTCTAAATAAGGAAACAATGCATGCGCACAGTGCGCAAAGAAGGCCACCATTTGGATCGGAACATATATATATATAAACACTGATTTCAACTGCTAGAGTTGAGAGCAGATGGAAGGCATATGACAAGTGCCGGAGGCCAGGCGAAAAGAAATTAACGAAGCTGTTGCTCGTTTAAGGTAAAAAGGGCTCTAAAGACAAAGATCAAACATACTTGAAGTCTGATTCGGTAGCAATATAGCTGGAGGTAACTTCAATGATTCCATACTCTATGTGCAGCACTTTCTTTTCAGAAATCGATGCAAACTTTTCCCGAATACAGGAAGGATGATTAGCCACAACAAAACATTTTCAAGTGATATCAGCCACAGATAAACAATTCCATTTTTCCAGAACTACCCATGATAAAGCAAGTGGGTTGTCTCTTTGCAAAATTCATCAAGAAAACTGTCAGAAAAGGAAAAGAGTAAGATGAGAACTGGACATTTTTGGTCGACAAAAATGTCACTAAGCAGTGGTAGCTTACTTAAAGCACGGCGTGTAGCAGCTTTATTTAAAGTCAAAACAAAGGATGGCCTGTAATGAATCGTATCGTAGAATATTCACTTGTTTTACTCTTTGAAACCTAGAAATCCAAATCAGTTGTTAAAAGCAGCACGTAGCGACTCATTCCTTTTTTCTTAGTTTTTGAAAAGCGATATTTGTTCAATAAAAATAAAAATATAAAATGCTAATTTACTCGAAAATTTGATCGATAATTCTACAATGTAAATAGGTAATCGTCTTTCAGGTGAAGATCAACCGGAAAGGAAGATTCAGAAACAGATTTGTAAAAAGGCAAAATATAGGGTCTGGTGAGAGTAAATACAACGTAATAATAAAAGATGCAGTTCAGAATTACACTGGCGGTGTTGGCTGAATTACAAACTGATGCGATTTGAATATGCTAAATATTTGTCTAGCGAATTGTGTTTACTTACTCTTGTGAACTGTGACGGTAATGCACAAAAGAAAAAAAAAAGGAATACAAAAACGAGTGATAAAAGTTATTTTCACATTTTAAAGGTTTGGAACAAAAACATCGATGTTCGAGAATAATTAACACACATAAATCAAAAATCATAAATAAGTGACAAAAGTCGCAACGGGGCGAACAAAAAAATTATCTCACATCCTGCAGACAGGTTTTCGATTGAAAAATGTATTACATCAGGCGTAAGAATTTCGAGCGTCAACCGAGTAAGAGGGCTTCTTGCGAGGCATGATGTTGTTTTGGGAATAAAATTTAAAAAAAAAAGTTAAGATTAAAGCGAGCATGTTCTTCTAAGCGCTTGGTCAAAAGTATTGGCTCTCGGTGTAAAAATAACATATGCCTTCCTTTGCCGACGTTAATATTATCTGTTCTCAAAATTTACAGAAAGGACACTATTTAAAGTAACTAATTTGAATTAAATTCTTGCTAAATCCCATCAAATATTACTGCAAATTTTACGAGGATTTTCTTTCATTATCCTTCATGTCCGAAAAAAGTATCAAGGTAACAATATGTGTTAAGCTAAAAAGATTGTTGCCGTCGATTAACATGCAAATAAATTCACGCATGTAATTTAGCTTCCAAAGCCAAATTCAACGCAACAAAATTGGACGAAATTATTATCAACCGGACAAAAACTGTATTTTCGTATGGCAGAGGAACCACAGCAATATTTGAGGGATTCATTGTCCTTTTTTCATCTTTCTCAAGAGATTCATGTACAAATATTCTTATCACGCTGACTTATACGTCGCAGGGCATAGGTTTCCAGAAAAGAGATGCACTGATATCTAGAGGTTGGCAGTATTTCAAAATGCCAGTCATTTAGCTTCCACTAGAATTTGCTTGAAACTCGTCAGTGTTGGATATCCAGGGACAACTGCTTCAAAATTGTGTCGAAACTATGGCGTCAAATGTGAACAGTAACACGTAAACAATATAAGGAAAGATTCAATATCGTGATTAGCTAACAATATGAACAACTTCTTTCCTTGTTGTGTAATAGCTGTTGGCGAAAAAGGTAAGAAAAGATTGTTAACAAATACAAAAGTACATTTCAATTCGAGGAGACAATGGAAAGTTTCACTGACAGGAAAATTAATTGATAACCGGTGCCGGACAGGCATTACTTAAATTATGCAAGATGTCCTAATATAACTGGAAGAAAAAGACTGAAAGAACCAGTAAGCGGAATCCTGGTTTTGATCAAGAAAATAGAGTGTTATTGTCCTATTCACTTTCAATTCAGCAAGTTGTGGCAAAATTATAAGACGCTTACGTGCGATCAATTCGCGTGATGTACAACAAAAGCATCGAATAAATAGTCTCTATTAGTTTGCAATATTCAAGAACATGACGCACATATGCACTTCAAAATGACACAATGACCTGTGTTTCTATTTTTATCGAGATAAAGCCGCCAGAAATTTCTGGGTGAGGCATCTAAGAGTCACTAAATTGAGTGAAAACAACATTGGCACGAATCTCTCATAGCGTTTCTCAAATGCACCTTGGATGTCCTCTATACATATCACAGCATCGCTTTTACAATTCGATCATTCATATTACCGGACTGTCGACAGTCTTAGCTCATTGCAAGAGCAGCCAAACAAAAAAGATAGAAACTCATGTCAATGTGTATCAATCTTCTCCTCATTCCCCAGATTAAATAAATTCAAAGAGTTTGTGGCAGCACAGTTTATAGCAATCGCGTTTCTTTGACCTAGACTTAAACACACTCCTGGGTTTGATTAGTCTTACTTTCAGTCCAAAATTTTCATAATAAAAACTGACATTAGCGGCTTTGGAAGTCAAAAAGCGGCACATTTCATACGAACTAGTTTGGCGCTAGCAGCGACGTTGTCTCCTTTCTGAGCCAAAGAGTAAGTAATTATACAGTGATGTAATTAAAGTTAGCGCAGAAATTTTCGGTGTCGGGGAAGTATCAGTTTAACCGCATGACTAATAGGATTGATAAATGCTTTCGAATTTTTTTTGTTTTTTTTTTTCTTCTTTTCTGATAATCTACTCGGCCGTTTTAGTAATGTACCAGTGATGAAACAAGTTCTGCTCATGCCTTTATAATTGGTCAAATCAACAACTTACCAGTTCTTTCAATGGCGCAATCTACTGAATATATTAATTTGCTAAATGAGTAAAATTAGCAGAGTAAATAATTCTTAGGATTGCCGATGTTACTGTCAAACGATATAACAGCAGAGCGAGAATGAAAATTACACAGGAAAGGATGACAAACAAACTTTGTAATACAAAGAACTCGATAAGTTTAATAATCTTATCTTAATCTCTTTGTGGTTTTCTAGAAAATGCGGGACTGTAAGCTACAAACACGCGCTCCGCAGGGCTGTTTCTTTCATATTCTGTGACCCGTTCTAACCTCACGGGTTCCACTAATGTGAGCATTGACTTATACTGATGTAAACATCAACTGTTACGTACTGTAACGTCATAGGGTGGGTTTTTTTCCCTACGAGTGTCTGTGGTTATGCGTGTCAGGTTTGACTAATTCGATGCTTATATGGAATCTAGGATGTGTTTCACGGAACTCCTTCCTTGCATGCAACTGGTCTTGCCTGCTCACAAGCAGCCATCTTTGCTGAAGAACATAACATTTCAGATATCTCATCCCGATTAGACAAACATAAATTTAAATTCCGTGAGTAAACGATAGTTGAAGTTCAAAAAGGCTTTCATCGAGATCGTACAGGGTAGTCTGGGTTAGACGTAATGTACTTCGTTAAAATGACAGTGAGCATGGCGGCTTTGAGATAAAAACACCCGAAAACACGAGGAGCTAATTGTGTCCTTGGCTACTTTGATGACAAATAGGGTAGAGTGTTTTTTTTTTCTCTTACAGATGTGTAAGTTATAAGTATTAATATCAACTCTTACAAATATCGTCCACTTACACGCTGGTTATCAGTATAAAAATCCAAATACCTGTCGAAATATCCTCGGGATTGCATTTCTGTAAAAAAAAAAAAAAAAAAAAAAAATCAGCTTTAAAAAAGTTCTGATAGATCTTGAATAATTGAAAAAAAACTCAATGTTGTTTTGCAAAGTTACCTCAAAACACCATCTTCCTAACAGATGATAATTAGCAGGATCATTCCTGTTGAGTCTAATAGCTTCTTGAATATGTTCCTTAAAAAATAATACAGTACCACTGATGTAAATTTCATTCAAAACTTGCCATATGAGACAAGAAGAAAAGTTTTTGCAAACCATTTAACCATTAATTAGAGGTTACATAGTGTGAGTAAATTCAGAACTGTGCAAAATTCAACTTCTTTATTAAACTAATTTAATTTTTTTTTTCTCTACCTTGTATTTGAACCCCAGCAAAATCTGATTTTGTAAAGTTTCATATTCTGTTGTGCTTCCAAGAATTATTGCATACCTACATAAAAAAAAAAAATATGGTACTGGGTTTGGTAAATATGTGCAACTCATGAGATGTTTATTTGTGCACGATCCTCGCAGTAAAGAGCACTGTTTAAGCAATAGTAAAAATCAGAGCTGAAAAAATTCAGCCCTGTACGGGATTCGAACCACTGACCTCTGCGATACTAGTGCAGCACTCTACCAATTGAGCTAACAAGCCAACTTAGGGCTGCAAATAACGGCNGGACGAGTTGTACAAATTTGTTCAGGTGGTTTAGATGAAGCCAGCCACTCCTTTGTAATTGGCCCGCATTGTGACCTTAAACTATTTAATCTACTAAACACAAGATTAAGACGGTAAAACAATATATCAGATTTAAACAAAAAAATATATATATGTATAGGAAAGAAAAATGATGTGTGGTGAATTCGCTTTCCTGAAAGTTTATAACTTCTTTTAGAAATCATAACCGACATTTTACGGGATTGAAAATAAATACGCATTTTACAAATTATGTACAAAGATCATACTGTTCCTTTATAAGTTAAAACAGTCTAAGTTAAAACAGTCTAAGCCAAGGTGTTATTCAAGTAAGCCTTGTCACTGGAGAAGACTAGTGTCATTTAATGCCAAGCACCATGAATTATCTCATAGTATCTGTGTTACAATACTGCTAAGTAGAGTTTTTCATGGAGGAAAAGGTGTCCACACGTTAGAATTTCCTAGGGAAAAAAAATGAGAGATAACATTAATACAAATATTTTACACAGAACTACTGGGTATCATTCCGTTGAACCCAAAGAAACAAACAACAACAAAAATAGCTCAGAAGCTCAGGTGGGTATTGAAATACTTTTTAAAAAATCGTGAAACTTCGCAGACCTTATTTATAGGTGGTGAAAATGATGTTACGATCAGTTTAAATCGACAGGGAGATATTGTTAAAACTGGGAATAGAGGCGTTCGATTTTTTTTTCTGGCGTCACCTGCTTTACGGCTTGTGTTTTACTTAATCCGTTTTAACTGCTGGAAGGAGCCGGTCCCTCGCGTCCAATGGGAGGAACATGTACCATGGTGTAGGGCGCTGTGGAGGACGCCGCCGAGCTACTTCTGTAAAGCGGTAACTCAGATGGGTGCACTTGTTCCAGCTCTAATGGCCCCTCAAACGCTAACTGAGCGTCCAGTCTGTTAAAATTGATATAAGTCCTTCGTCTTGAACCTTTACGAACATTTTTAGCGTAAGACAGAGGGTTTGCAAGCGAGGACGGGTCACAACTGATCCGTTCACATTCACCGGCCGATGATATTCTGGCGGAAATGACCTCTGCTGGCCGCACACGTTGAAAAGTTTGGCTCGATCGAGGTCGGAAAGCTTGAGGGTGATTATCGATTCCGGAAAAGTTCTCCAAAGGACTGTTGTAGTGATACTGAGTCTCTTTGGTGGCGAAAACCGAATGATCTCGAAACGGGAGGAACAGTTTTCTGGGGGGGCACTGCTGGGGCCAAGAAGCGTTCACGTTACCTCCAAAACTAGCTCCCTCTTCACTGATAGGAGGGGAATTTAAATCTGTCCTTTCCCTGGAGCTGCAAGGCTCTTTTATATCATCTTTTGATGAAACGTCCTTACCCGAATACATAGAATCTACAGAATATTGTCGTCGTAAGCTCGACACCGATCTTCTCCGAACACTTGTACTTCGTGAGCGAGGGCGACCCGACGGTGGCCGGGGCACAATGACGGCCTCTGGAAGATTACTCGCGTTATCAACGTCCGAGTCTAGTGAGGATAGTTCTCTAGACATGGGTCGATAGCTGGCTCTTTCAAGCTTTGGATTTTCGTCTGAAACTGTTAGTTTGCTTTCCTCCCCTGATCCCTTGACAACAAGCGCTGAATCTATTAAGTCTAAGATTTCATCGTCTACGATTTTCAAATCCACTTGCGAAGTTTGAAGAACCTCTTGATCTTTAACAAAACGCAAAACCATTTCTTGCTTTGCTTGAGTAATGTTTTCTGAGAAGTCATCAAGCCTTGGACTCACCGGTCTGCTCTCCTCCAGTGTAGTCATGGTGAAATCTATTATGCTCAAAATTTCAAAAGAAATCCGTGATTTCGTCAATTCACGAAGACAAACAACTTTGGTTGGATATTTAGAGATCGATGAGCGCCCTTGCTAAGGAATTCAGATGTAATCATGAACTTGCATCAGAACTCGAAGTTGTCGTTAAATGTTGTTTAATCGTTCAGTTAACTCGACGAAGTTTCGCATCGCTTCCCGGCTTCGTGTTTTGTTGTCTAGTGCATGCAAGGATCCTTTTAATTCTTCGAACCGTTAATTACCAAACCAAACCACAGTGACAGGATCACAAACACAACAGCTCCACGAGCGGAACACCCTTTTTGGTAACCTTAACAAGAATCTACTCCACCAAATTTGCTAAAAGGTTAGCGCCATCATTTAGTAATTTTCCATGTCTTTGAATGTTATCTGCCTTTGTGTCCGTAGCTAACAAATACGGCTCTTAGAAAAGCTACGATTGGTCAGAAACAATAAACAAATGAATCATAAATATTCATTTCTACTTTGGATAAGATCAATTCTGAATGCAAACTAATTAACTACTGTGTGTTTACTTTGACGAAAAGAAAACTTCGTACAAATTTTTCTTTGTTTTGTAGAAACTGATAAAGCAACTAAGACGCAAGGTTTTCAAACTTTTCCACAGATCTATTTTCAGCTGGAATTAACCTGTTTATGAGTTTCCAAGCGGGGAGGGAAGAAAGCAAGTAATTAAATATTTTAATTCAACCTAAAGCAATGTATACATTTTAAGAACAGTCTTTGTTTCGCTGTTTACACATAAAAATAGTTCAATAATGGCTGAAAGGCGAGTTCGCACATTAGTCGTCTTTTAACAAACCGCAAATTGCTTCAATCGCACACAATGTTTTCTTCGCGTGGTCGTTCACATGAAGATCTATAAGTATAGTTTGAAAGTTGGGAATCAATTTACGCTCTGTACTTTAAGTCTGTGTTAAGTGAATCTAAATTAGCTTTGCAGATCCCTAGCGGATTTTCAAACGCTCAATTATGCATTTTGGCACCCCCTGTAAGGGAGGCTATCGCTTTGCGTCAGAGCACATTGTTCGCTTAATCCCGTTGTATGGAAGTAGACAACAGTAATCAATCCTTAAGACTCGACGTCCAAAACCACGTAATTTCTCTCATAATTCGCTGCGGAAGCGAGAGAGCAATTATTAAAGAGGCACTTCGAAAATGGGCCGAGAAACATCTTCCGCAATTATGTAAGAGGAACTTTCAGTTCCTGTAGATTCCTTTTAACCATTAAAGAGAAACTACCAGAGAGTCTGAAAGGAAAAACCTTTGGATAATTGAGGTCCTTCAAGAGATTAACGATTGAGAGCTTTTAAGAGTTATTAATTGAAAAGCACCTGACAACACGGAATAGAAGCACTATGTATGTCCACAGCATCCGATCGTTTCCCAAAACGAAATTTCACGGCGGTATCAAAAGATGTGTAACATACAAACGAACTTGAACTCGACAGGATACCAAATAAGACCAAATGTATTTCACTAATCGTTTCTAATCGAGCCACCCAGTTCAAAATTTAATGATATTATAATGCAACGTAACACATCAATGCATTATCTTTTAAAAATTTCTCCAACGAAGTGGATTCGTTTTCTCGGATGGTCACAGTTGTAAGTCCACCCTGTTTCACTTTTAAACATTCACAACTTATCCTATCAATCACGAAGCTCATTCTTTTCAGTGATTAGTGCTGAGTAGAGAAAATATAACAGAAAAAAGAAGAATATGCTGATACAAGTTATGTAATCTAGAGTAGGAGCGTTGAGGTTATTTTGACCTTTCCACCACAACGAGGTATGAAGTAATGACAAATAAATAGTCTAAACACTGGCTTCAAACAGCTTTGAGGAGAGCTGCTGGATTACGAGAAAGCTCTCTTGTTACACTACCTGAAGATGGCAAAGAAAAAAGAAAGAAAACTACAACAACAACAACAACAACAACCAACAAAATACCAAAAAGCAGTATAACAAACCCACAACAAGAAAAAGGAAGCTACAAGAGACGATGTCATTGAAAACTGGATGTTGATTCTTGCACTTTCTTTCTGCTGTCATGTTTCATCTTCAGTTCCCTATTAGAGGAGTCAGGAAATAGAAACATCCGTTTTGCCTTTGGGAAGAAGCGACAAAACTTTTTACTTAAGCGCATGCCGTCCTAATTTAGACGAGGGAGAGAAGTTCTCAATTGTATTTCTGTCTACAAATTGGTAAATCTCCGTTGATTTTTAGCTGCTGGTCGTCTCAGCCTGCTA